TCATTCATCACCCATGTAAAGTTCGCTGCAATCGGTCTGCTCAATAAGTAGAAGGCTCATAGAAAACGGTAATCGTTTAAGCACGCTATTTTCCATGCGAGGGAAATTTAGGTTCTAGATTCTTTCTGTTGGGGTTATAAAATTATTTGACGGAGTAGACTGCTCGTCAATCCGATCTTTCTCGGTTTTGAGGAGGAGAAACCGCCAAAACGTTAACTTTTGCGAATAAATGGTGTAATAAAGATGTGGTGTCTACTCATCAAGAAAACGTAGAAACATTGATAAATTCCGGGGTGGATAGAAAGACCGTCCCGGGAATTACTCATTCTATGGGTTTTTAAAGTATCCAAGCGTTTATAGGCTTCCGTTGGAGAATATTGCAAATTTTAGTTCGGAATTGGTTTTACATTGTTTACAATGAAATTTGCGCAGTTGATTTTCTATAAAGAGTTATTCTACTCTTATCCGAGTCTCTGATTTCTCAATAATTAAGAAGGATTTGTTGGCATAGGCGCTGGCCACACTAAATGATGAAGCGTCGGTGTCTACTAGCTCCACGCGTGGAAGATTCTCACTGCGCTGTGAACTTCCAACCTACCATTGGAGAAGCTGTGGCATCGCCTTTTCTAAAATGTGCTGACGTTATTTTTCCAAAACTTTTAACCGCGTTAAATTGAGTTTAACAGATACATTTAATTGTTAATTGAAATAAGTTTTCGTCGTATCCACATCACTTAATTCTTTCGATGTGCGATCTCGCCTACGAGCGGCCCGGGTCGCATCGAGTACAGCGGAGTACCATTCGAATGAGCCGTGTTCGCTCGACAATGCCATTTTATACGAACGCTTTCACATTCGTACAGTCCTCCATTCCACTCAGTTTAATTCGATGTTTTTACGAGGGCCAAACAAGGCGTGATTTGCCTACTGACACTTGGCTTGAATCAGGGAATCAGTGAAAAAACAAATGGTGCTGAAACGTTATCCACAACAAAGGTTTATAAAGTATTCGTACAAGCCTGTCAATAAGCCAGCATATTGGTTTTCTATACAAAGTTAAAGTGGAATTCGCTGTTGAAAAATTCTATGAATCTTGGTAATAGGAACTATGATATCGATCACTTGTGATGGTCATAACTAGTGGCAAGTACTTCAATCCGGGTTTAACAAAACAGAATAACTGAAGAAGTAACATAGCTCGTTTTTTGATGAAATTTAGACTCTTTGGAGTTGCAGACCAAAGGTGAAGAAGGTTAAAGAAAGAAGATTTCGTAGAATACAAGTCAAGAATTCCACGGAAATTAGAGGACCATCATCAGAAATGCGACTCTACGCCCACTTTAACACTTCACTACCTTCACCTTCACCGTGAGCTGTTCGAAAGAGAAAGAACTTTGGTATCCAACGAATGAAATTTTAAGCAGCTGTCAGATGTAAATTTTACTGGGGCGTGTGGCCGTTTTTTAACGAAGTTCCAAGTATTGTTCCATATCACTATAAGAAATAGTATTGTTGCACTACAAAAACGGTTTAAATAAGCAAAAATGGCATTTCCACAGTGAGCAACCAAGTGCTCTTCATCAACCAAACGTCATCTAAAAGCTGCTTTCCAAATTATTCTTCTAAATGATGTTTTCCAGATCCGGCTCGATTGGTGGTGCGGCCTGATTCGTCCACCGTCGCCGCCGATTCTAAAATCAGTTTCTTCTGCCGCGCTGACGGGAATCCTTTGCCGAATATTGTATGGAAAGTGAACGGAAATGTGCCTGTCGATTCACGGTAGCTTTATAATTTTCACAATAGATGAAATATTTGTCATATCAATCAGTCTTCTGTTTTTGCAATTGCTTAGTCTGCTTTTCGTCTAGCACTTACGTTATTCTTCTCTGGATGCATATTCAGTGACAGGAGAAGCTCAAACGATCGTTGTGAAGAAAAAATATTATGAAATTTTTTAAACGCAAAATAGGAATCAAATATAGTTAGTAGTCTTCGTAACGACAAGGAAACATCTCCTGATCACTTTCTGTGTCACTTCTCAGATTTGTCGTGAAGTCACTGCCGACTGGCTTATCCACGCTCCGAATCGAACCAATACTAAGTTCGGATAACCAAACAACCATCTCATGCTTAGCTGACAACGGAGTGGCGAATCCTGTGGTGGGCGATGCTGTCGTTACAGTATTGAACAGAGGTAGTGTAGTATTACTAGATCGTTTCATTCATTTGATAACTGCCCAGAGACGTTTTACAGTTTTTTTCCATGTCGAGTACCTTATTTCACTTAAAATTTACCGCATTACCACTTGCATTACACTAGTTAAAGAAGCCACTGCGACACACACGTGGAATCGTTCCCAGCGCCCATGACCCACCAAGCCTTCCATCTTTCCGTGGTCGGTAAATTGGTACCAGACTTTTTGGAAGGATAACAGCACTGCACATCCCTCAGAGAAACGCTGAGAGCTTTATCCTTTTTATACCACTCGAGTAAAAATACATGCAGTCATAATGCACAGTATACATGCATATCAGTACTTTCAGCCGATCTTCCACCCGGATTTCCCATCATCGATGCTCATCCAACGCTCAAGTCCGTTGAGCAGGGCAGAACGGCCCATGTAACGTGCAGGGTAAAATTGTTTTTCTCACGTTTTTGCGGAGCTGGCTTTGTAAAGCTTTTAATTTATTCGTATTTGTAGAAAACTGCAGAGCTATATGTCACTTATTTCCTAGTTTTACAATGCGCCATATTTTTCCGCGTTTACCCATGCTTTGAGCACTTGTTGCCCAGTGATTAGAGATCCCCTGCAATACATACAAAGTCATTGGTTGGTTCTATTGCTCCGAGCTTGCGATTTCTCATGCTTCAGATGTTGTCAAATTGCCCTTCTTCGGAAACATGGAATCGCTGACTTAATCCGTCGTTGGGCTTCCATAAATTGTTCAGGCCTAATACACTTCGTGATCCCTGCGATGCACTATAGAGTCTAATGCATGAAGCATCTCTAAGGGACTAATCAATGCTGAACGACTTGTCCTCTTATCTTAGCTCATATTCCATTTCACCAACAGTGTATTAGAGTGGATATTCAAGTTAGCTGGCTAGATGCTTAGATCCTCGTCTTCACAGCTAGTGCGAGTGCCAGCACTTCTTTCATTTGTTTGTTGTCGATTTCTGCAACTGTCACCAGCGCAGATGGTCGGATTTATGTTTGCGTTTAGTATTAATTTATGCATGTGTCATTCTTTTTTCTAATTAGCATGATGAATGGTAGTCCAGCTATATATCTTCGTGGAAAAATTGGATAGCCCTGCTATGGAGGTTTCAGATCATCACCGCCGAAAGTCGCCGGCTTTTGTGGATCGGAGGTAGGTTTGCTTCCTTACGAGTAGGATTTCTCAGAGGCTGCAGTGACTTGGTTTTCATAGAATACAGGAGATGATAGCACAGTAGTGATGATGCCATTGAGGACGGTACTGGTTGGACAAGCATGGAGTTCACCAAACATGTTATCTCTCTGTGGTCGAGAAATTAGCCTATGCTCATTTCATCCCCTCCCCTTCCCTCCATTCCCTCCCTCAACCCACGGAACGCTCTACTAGCGCGACTCAAGGGAGATTTCACTCGACTAGTATCCAACGAAATTTGTGAAAAACATGAAACAGCAGCCAAATTCACACCGAAAAATTCGGAGGACAGTTGTGGACGATGGGTGTGAGAAAATGAATCGAATGCAAGAAGAACTGGGATCCATGCAGTGGACATGAAGACCGGTCAATAGAATAAAAAATGAGTCAAGTTTTGTGGCGGCAACGAATCCTTTAGTTCATGAAACAACTAGTGGTCCTACCGCTTGGGACTGTGTATTAAACCCCATCTGGGTTTTTCCTAAGTAGGATATCTGTCATTTTTTAAAACAGAAGAGCTTTACAAAGTTAAGCTGTTTTTGAATTTTCCTGAAGTTAATCTCTATCTGACTGAAGACTTTCATTCGACATAGAGAAGCTCGACGGCATTTTCGTCAAGCCGGACATTTTGTGTCGATACGTTTTTTTTCCAAGAAATGGAATGTACGTAATCAAATATAATATATGCGTATTCTTTTGGCTAGTCCACACATCTGTCGCCTCCTATTTTATGTTTTCGGTTGAACAACACACGGAACATCACGTTTATTGCACGACTTTACTTTTATGGTTTATAACGATAGGCTACCTACGGGTAAACCTGCGGGATTTATTAATGCAGAAACTACTTGGATGTTTAGATGGCCTGCCGTCTTCACTTGTTGTGCGAGCCTCAGCAAAATTTCTATTTTTCGAAGTTTTTCTGGCTTAGCAATTGTGGTTTCCTGGAATCCCGAGGCCACCCTGCCAAAATCTGCCCCAGGTCGTCACCGCAAGCAGTCGCCGCCCTTGTGGATCAGAGGGAGATTTGCCACTATGCTACTAATTTGGTACCAGGACGGTGGTGGACCCTGGTACTGGTTTGCTCATAGCTAGGCTTCTTAATGGAAACACAGAACTCCTTCTCAGCTTGGGAGACTCTACTGAGTGAATGGATCCCTCGCTTTTCATTGCAGCCCGACACCTAGGAACACTTCCTAGCCACGGCGAGAATTGACAGCAACGTGGTATATTAGTTAAAGGTAATGCTAGTCGCCGTTTACATACCTTTCAGTCACTTGATAGCAGAGTTTCTCCTGAATCGTGCAAGATACCAACACAGAAGTGAAGTCTCTTCTCTGAATCAAATTTTTCAAGCACATGTTCGCATCTGGTGTCTAACCGCCTTTGCATAACTTGTTAATGATCATCGTATTTATTCCAAGTGTCTTGATGAGACTCTTCACACGAAAGAGGTCTGTTTTTTCGAAACTTTCGAATAAGGGAAGAATAAATACGATTAACATGTTTCTGTTAAAGAAACCTTTACAATCTTTACTTTGTAAGTCTTTACTTAACACGTTTAGGTTCGAGGTGATCCAAGACCCAAAATGTTATGGCTGCGAGACTTAGTACCAATTGACATTAGAGCGGAAGGACGTTATTCAGTTTCCACTATGGGAAATCCAGGTATTAGTAGATTTTCCTTTAGCGACTATATTTTCGTACGTTGGATCTGCTAATTACAATGAAGCCTTTTGTTTCTTATACCAGAACTGTCGCTCAGTTACTAATGCTTTGTGTTCATAAATCCTACACTCGCTCATTCTTTTATTTTGCAAAACAGCACAAAATGCCTCTTTTGTTATAGAATGTCTGAAAGGACTATTGTTTTGAGCGTTGGCACATTTAAAAATTCAACTGAAAAGTTCATTTTCGAATGCGAAGACTAATCAGTGAAGACAGCATTCAGCCCATTTGCTTAGAATTGTATTTTATTTGGCCCATCCTAACGTCTACTGTGCCGATTCCAGCACTTCTCACATTAAGTTCCTTTCTCGCATCCATCCAGTTCGATCCGCGAAGGTCTTCAAATTTTACATATGGCTTCGGTTGCTACTTGAGGATTTTCATTTCATCTTGAATGTCGTAGAATGCTGGCTGAGCAATTCTCTCTGGAGTCCTGGGATATCCGGGTCGGAGCGTTCTCAATTAGGTTGCAGAGAGTGATTTTTTCCCAGACAAGTTCGGTATCAACTTTCTGTGGTATGAGAGGCTTGGTTGGCCAGAAGCGGAATGGAACCAGCACCATGCTCGTGATAACGAGCATCACTACCACTGTGCTATCTGCTCTTCTATTTGCTTAGAATGCAATGTACATATATATTATTGTGTATATACACAAATATGTGAACGCTTTAATAAGTTGCCAGCACAATGTCCATAGTGAAAGGGAGTGCATGAAAGTGTAAAAAATAACCTACATTTTTAGGAGCGCTGATGATCCAACAGGCAAAAGAAGAGGACCAAGGGAAATACGAGTGCGTGGCACGGAACAGCTACGGTGTTGCGCACTCCAAAGCTGCCCATCTCTACGTGAAAGGTCGGATGTTGAATTTTGTCTCACTTTCTAGTCTTCATGCAGAGATAGCTTCTCTATGAAAGCTTATTAGTTATTCTGCCTTTAATGTCTGCGGTAAACCTGAAAAAGGGTAGCGCTATTTTTTCCTTTAGGCAATCACGTCTATTTTTAGGCCGATAGTGGCGACTAAGAGAGCTGAACTCTGAAAAATTTGTCCCTTTTCGATAGTCAAGTCATTTTTGAGTGGCGATATTTTTTCTTAATTTGGTTATTTTTTATAACTGGAACTCCGCCTAGAATGGCGAGTGTTTCATAGAGACGATTATGTATATATGTCTACATTTTCTATGCAGTTTCCAATCATTTACTCTCGGACCACATTGGTTCGCAGGAATGGCCGCGATTTTGTTGTTGTACGAAGGGAAATTTATGTGGCTCATTATTACTGCAGGAGTAGCTGTTGCATAGTGAATTGGATTAAGAGATATAGTGGTGTCGTGGGCCTCATTGGGCCCCTCTCCTACACACCATCGCCACAAAATCCCCACTTGAGGCCAGATTGTTTGCCGTGAGTTTTGCCACCGCTGGTGTCATATTCGCACGCAATCCAAGCACTCATTTCTTTTAACCAATGATCAGTAGTCAGAGATAATTTTTCTCTCTCAATATTTATAGGAGTTCTCTCTTTCCCCTTTTCTATTGATAAGAACTTTCAATGGCTAGTGGCATATCATCTATTTAACAGTGTAGATTACTAGACTAAAGAGAAAGTTGGTTTAGCCATCTATCTCCATCATTTTGTTTTTTGAAAGGCAGCGAATGCGATTAACTTGTTGGTTCCCAACGATTTGCCTACACCAAGTGTTCAGGTTTGGGAATTTCTCCGATGCTGAACTAGATTTTTGTCGGAATATAGCACTTTGAATACAAAAGCTTTACCATCTCACAGATCTCGAACACCCGCGATGTTCCTTGTGTTTGACATCGAAGAGGCGTTATTAGCCATTAGCTACTCAAAATGCTGATCCTCATGTTCTTAGAAGTCATCTGACACACTTGTAGAGAATGCCATTCTCTGTGGATTTGGTGACTCCTCGCTTACAGATCTCTTACCTAGTTTTTGTAAAGGATATACAACGGAACGTCGCCTATTGTAGCTGTCATACCCATAGCCATTCGTCATCAAACTCACATCTGGCCCTTATGAGTCTACTGCACGGAGGAGAGAAAACCACTCATTGTTTTCTGTGATCGCATCCTCCGCAAATCCTATCGTTGTTTTTCCACCTAGCTGACACTTCTTATATTTAGGAGCACTTGCTCGTTCGCCATATCTTTCCATATAATAAATTTAGCTTTATACAAGGAAGACAACAGACTTGTATGTTTGAGGTCAATTCCTGTCCTCCACCGAAGGACCTCTCAATATTCGGACTCAGAGCGACTTAACGTTTCCCAGTAGTCGCTTCTTCATGATTTTCAAGTTTTTCTACACTCCTCATTTGCAAGAAATGCGACGATTTACTCAGTCTATTTTAGTTCATGAAAAAAGAGAAACTTTTTATATTAATGGAGCAAAGAAGTTATGTGTCAACTGATGCTTTAAGCCACTAAGCTTCTTTCTTTTTGGAAGAATAGTGTGCTAAAACTAAGGTACTGTTTGCTTTCTTGGGGATAGGTTTGTCTCAAAGCAGGCCAAAGCGGCCCATGTCCATGAACAACCCGATTCGAATGTGCATGATGGATGGATTTTTGGAATAGACTGCCACTGGTGAATAGATTCTTCAAATTAAGAAGGAAATAGAAATCGGTGATTGCAAAATCTTTCAGCCTGGAGTGCCTAAATGCACGCTCTTCTCAATGCTCATCAATCTTTCGCAACATTTGCGAGGAAATTTAATTTTACCAAATTTACGACTGCTCGTAAATGAACGTCGGAATAGCGAATTGCCAGAAATAAACCAATGTATAATTAGTTGAAAAATTTCAGACGATCTACATGTAGGTGCGCGTTGTAGATCCTTGTAACCAGTTGGCGTATTAAGAGCAATATAATAAAATCATGACAGTTTGGCAGCAGTGCTAGCCACTTAATTTGGAAACTAGAGCTCGGCTTCCTACGTCGCCCACGGGTGGTCGGTTGATTAATTGCGGAGACTGCTGTTTCTAAGGGAATCGTTGTTATACTCTTCTGTAGGAATTCTAAGACCTACCACCCATCCATAGAAACCTAAAAATTTCTGAGATGAAGTAATACGCTAGCACCTCGAAATTCTAGTGGAAATAACACTCAGCTACCATTCAACGTGCTAGCGAGAAGAGTATAGAACAGATTCTCGAAAAGCACAACGAACACACGAAGTTGACCCTATTTACGAATGACAGTTGATACAGCGAACAAATCGGATGATGGCTGGAACTCACAGACGTGTGATCGCCAAACAATTAAGTAATTGAGAAGTCAATCACTATCACTAGGTGAGCACTAAATATCGAGAAAGCGGCTAAATATGACCGTTGAAAGGGAAATCACTGTAGAGTTTCTGCGTTACCAGGTGTAAAAGAGCTGTGCCAAGCGGCTTTTCTAAGCTTTTTATTACCTATTGGCAGCGTAATATAATTATTTAGCACTTTTGGAGAGCTTCGCAATATTGGTTCTGTCGAAAATTGTCAGAACACATGTCCTATCAATGTCCACAAGCTTCCCATCTATCTGCCACCTGCCACCTTCTATGTGAAGACCATTTGAGACTTTGGTACCTCACATGTAAATGCATAAACCGAATTTATTCAGTAATTTATTTCACCAATTTATAATTTATCGAGCTCGAGATGTGTCGTAGTGCGATCATTCGTCATTCGTCAGGTAACTGACTGACTCTCACCAGTTCCATGTACTCCTATAAGCAGAGTCACTCAGATGAGAGCAACGTGATATGCTCATCTATTAAATATAGACAGAAAAAGTTGAAAAAAAAAGTTTTAAATTCTATTTGCTGCCTATTCATTTTCTCATGGCACGAGATGATGTGAATTGCAATCACAACGAAGCTGAGATGGGAGCACCGTCAGCTTAACCGAGTTCAATGCTGTCTTTTGCTCACCAGATCATTCCGTTGCCCGTTGATTGCTAATAGCACTTATAGAGTAAAAATGTCATTGAGAAAAGAGTAAAGTGAAGCTAGCAGTTGTTGTCGTCGTGGATAGCATGCGAGCACCGGTAAGGATAATCACAGGTTAGGAACCCACCTGAGGTTCCCCGTTTTCTTTATATCTTAACAACCTTGTGGTCGAGAAAAAAAGTTTTGCATGGCGGTTAGCAATTTCCCAATGCACGGAAGTGTTTTTGAGTGTAGAACAAATGCGACCTTAGCCGGCTTTATCAGCTAGCCTCGCTCCAAGTGATACAGGATGAGAAGGAGCTTGACCTCATGAAGCTGAGCACCCAACTTGGAACCAACCACCGCTTTTGGTGTTGCCAATCATGTACTTTGTTTGTTTAAAGTCAACGACTGGAGAGTTCAACTAACCAATTTTTTTGCGGTTTTATATTAATAGCGATGGCGAATTAACTTCTATGTTTGGTCTTCCTTGTCTGTGTTTCTACTCAAGGGATCTAATAATTTTGCATCACTGAATTTCTTGTTGTTTGCTTAAAACACACTTCCTTCCTTTTCTGACAAAGTGTGTTTCCTCGGCTACCGTTGACTAATTGGATGAAAATGGTCAACATTGACATACTTGAGCAGCTTCATTGAATTTTTCTGTTATTAAAATATACGGTATGAACAATGAATGTTATCACATCAGGAAGAAAACTGTCGTATAATTATCACTATCGCACTTATCACTTCATCGTTCTTCTAGCATTCATCGCACACATCAGAACATAACGGCTCGAGGATCCTCTTATCGCATCTGGATCGCAAGCGACACTCTATTCTCCTCGACGATATCACATTATGGCAGTGACCGTGGATTGGCAGATGTTGTACACGAGCGCAAGCGCTCTTGAACCGGTTTTGGAAGTCCACTCGGGAGCAACCCGTTGCTGGTTCGTAGAGATCGAAGCATGAGGAGCACTGAACTCAGCATTTTCGTTTCCTCCTATCGTTTAGAACAAGACAAGTCATTCTGCATGTGCGTCAATGTATGCGATGAAAATGGATTTCTCATTCTGTTCAATTTCTGCAGATATTCCGAACATTCGTTTAGTATTCCCGCTGTTCATCGCCTTTACTTTTTCTTTTTCTAGTCGAATTGATTATTCCATTGATTTTAGATGTCTCACACGTAATTCACGATGATGTTAGTAATGATTTACCAGACTTTGGGGTCAGTCAGCGCCTTTTTGGGGCACACACTGCCCTTACATCTCTTTGGCATTGAGACACACATCAATGCAAGCGAGTCCGGTTTGTGACTTGAGCCAAGTTGTATAGTGTTGCTACTAAATACATTGATCTCAAAACTATGGAGATCGGGTGCGAGCAAAAGCATGAACTAGAAAAACATCTGCGATTAATGATAGTAAGCAGAGATAAGATTGAGAAACCCTACATTACTCGATCTAATTTCAGTACGTCGGGTTCCACCATATTTTTCCTACAAACTAGAGAAGGTCTACCGTGTTGGGGCCGGCGGCAGTGTGAACTTGACATGTGTTGCAGTTGGATTTCCTATGCCAAGGGTGTTCTGGAAAAAGAGCGACGACGGTATGTTATTCATTCATTCGCTTTCCTATTATTTATGACAACCTTGTTTATCTTGTCAAGAAACTGCGATATTTACCACTCATTAATTCATTAGTTTACTTTATTATTTCTTCACTCTGCGGTTGCTTGGCATAAAAATGGTGGAAGTTGTAGTGGTGCTGAACGATCCAGCCATGGCACCAATTGGGAAGAATGTGCTCACTCTGACCAATGTCGAGCAGTCGGATAACTTTACTTGCGTCGCTGTTAGCAAGCTGGGCAACATTGAAGCCACCACACTTGTCGATGTGCAAGGTATTGCCTTGACATTCAGACTGTTTCTAAATCTTATTTTCCTTCATCGATAGTGGGTTTTAAAAACTGAACTAGTCATTCGTTTCTTGACTGTCTAATTTCCATTACAACTTTTCCGGTAGTGTTTAATTGTTTACTTGTCACCAAATCTCTTATGCATTCGTAGTAGAAATTTGTTGGAAACAACAAATAAAAAAGTGTTGGAGGTTTTTTATTTGTGTAAAATTAGAAAAGGCTTTGTAATAAGTTATGAACACCAAAGAAACATGAAGGAATGAATCGTGAGCAGTTGAACATCGTGTGTACAGCGACCATCTGAACAGGTCCTTATCATTCCCTCTTTACTGCTTGTTCATGCACGATATCTCGTAAAAAAAGGATAAAGCTCTCGGAGTTGATCACTCCCTGAGGGATGCGCCATGCAATCGACTTTATTAAGTATCGTTTGGAGGTGATTGAATGCATATCCGGCTTTCACAAGGACTCACGGTGGCCTACCAATGTATCGAGCCAGTGCTGCTATCCTCCCAAACAAGTCTGGTACCAATTTGCCGACCCCGGAAGAATGGAAGGCTTGGTAAACCATGGGCGCAGGGATCGGTTCCACGTGTGTTTCAAGGAGCTTCCGACCATTTCGCCACACTCGCCCTCACCACATCTCATAAGTTTCAAAATATTTCATTTTTAAGTCACTTTTGTTATAAAAAAGTGACTAACCTCTTTTGCTTTTGTAAAATCAACAAAGCTTAGATTGATGTGGAATTACGCTGAAAGAAGAAAACATAAATTATCTCAGGAGGAATCTATGAAATTTATCTCATCTGTAAGCATGACAGATATTAGATTAAGAACAGTTGAATGGAAGCGTTACAACAAAATTTTCTAGTGATTTAAACTTTTTTTATAAATTCGTTCTCGATTTCAAGCGTCATTTCGTAATGAATTCATAGGGTGAAACAAGCAGCTTGTCGTTGTTTAGCACTGCCGCCACCGCCCCGGAACTTCCAGGTGTCTTCGGTCACCAGCGACACTGTTACCCTCACATGGCAAGCACCGACTCTTAACGAACCAGCTAGGGAATATGTAGTCAAGTACCGGCAAAAGTGCGTTGTTCATCATTGTGTCGTTTCTTCATTTTGCTCACAATACCTTTTTTTAGTCGTCGATCCTTCTTTAGCAAAATAGCCGATTTATACAAGAATAAAAGACCAGCAAAAAAAAATCCTTTCCACTTACATGAAGAATTCAAAGAATAGTTTTTTAAACCAACCGTTATTTAACCTGAGTAATAATAATCAATTCTCTTTTGCACTATTAAGTTAAAACGAGGTTGATAAAAGATTTATTCGGCTAAAGTTTCGACATCTTCGTCTTTCTCAGAGACTCGAAGAACAGTGTGTGTAGTTCAGGGTGCTAAGCAGAGATCTTTCAAGGTTATAAAATTCTTCGAGACCTAGGTTAACTTCCTTCAAATTCCAAAAGGAAACTGCGGCTGATGTTGTGCGTGTGTATTTCTGTAGGGTTTGAATGTGTATGCCTGTGAGTGTATGCATGTGTGACAATGTGTCTATACTTGTACATGTCTTTAATGCGTGTGTAGACATAAGAAGCGTCATAAATTCTCTAATTTATCATCATGACTATTTTTTCCTGTCGTTTACGTAAGAACAACGAGAGCAAAGAGGTTACGATATTGGAAAGATATGTAACGGATCAAATCAACTAGTCATAGCTTATGCTTACCAAGTACTGCTTCGAACGATTAACAAGTAACCAGATGAAGTCTGGCATAGCTGGATGGTAAGCAAAACTTGCTTCTTTCCTTTTGAGAAGCGTCTTTCAGTTCTTTGCATGCTGATGTTTCTGAATTAATCCTGAGATCCCAAGGTTCATTAAAAGTTAGTGTAAAGCACGCAACCGAAATTGTTCCGTGAAACTTCTTATGAGTGAACCTTAGAATACAGGGCGGATAGCACAGTGGTAGCGTTTCGGTCGTCATGAGCATGGTGCTAGTTCGATTGTGTCCCGGGCTTACCAAGCCTCTTATCCCTCCGGGGTCAGGAAATTGGTGCCGGATTTGTCCGGGAAAAAATCGCTCTCTGCAGTCCAATTGGGAACGCTACAGTCTGGCTATCTCAGGACTCCAAGGAGAGTCGACTCGACCACCGTTCTACGACATTCAAGATGAAATGAATATCTTCAAAGAGTAGTCGAAATCACACGTAAAGGTTGGAAGGTCTTCGTGGATAATGGATATAAGGAAGCAAATTGATGGTGAGAAATGCTAGGATCCGTTGAGTAGACGTGAAGATGGGCCATGAAAAAATAAAAAAATAAGAAAAAATCATGTAATCGTCGCAGTTTTTTACAATGATTAGTCATTCGCCATAATCGTAGGCGCCAACGGCCCACCCGATAGTTGTCGGCAACCGCAGTTTCCTTTTTAATCAGATTTTCCAAAAGGCTGAGCTCCTAAATTCTAAACGCATGGATTTTTATTAACTTTGTCGATAAGATATGCATGTCTTTGATACTTTTCATCTATTTCAAACTTTCCGTGTGATCTGTTAACTAACATGGAGTTTTGAGGTCTCTTCCTCGAGCAGTCGAAGCATCCGCTGGGTATGTTTGCAGTGTCGTAATATCGGTTGCATGGTCATTTTACTTGTTTTTCTAATGTCTTGAAAACTTACCTGGAAGCATTCTCCTAGAACTGGTTTTTTCCTCTCTGGACTTCGTTATTAGTAATTTACAGGTACAGCGACTCCAATGCAGCAAAGAAATTTCGAGTATATCCCAACGTAACGAGCGCTACTATTGACAGTTTGGAACCGTTCCAGGTACATTTTATCCTTAAAATTTCGCAGTCGTTAGGTTGTGCTTAAAAAACTTATGTATGCTTTAAATTTTTAGCTGTATGAATTCACGATTGTAACTGTGGGAGAATTCGGTGAGGGTCCACCTTCCATAACAAAAGAAGCTCAGACAGCTCCTGCAGTTCCAGGAAGTCCTCCATTAAAGGTAAACGGCTTTGAATAAAATAAGCACTTATTAGAATGACATAAAAATTGCAAACCCTGTGCTGTGTGAATCTTGTGTTTTGCGATGCCACTTTCCATCTAGAGAAATTGAAAATTATATCATTTCTCGTATCTCAGTCCTGATGGAACTTCCATGATGAGCTTTTCAGCTCGGCAGAAAGCATTTATCTCTGACAAGAATATGACCATAACGCCCATAATTCTCAATATGCTTGTTGAGCAAACACGAGGTGCTACTTCATTGTTTATCCGGTTAAAGTCGACGTTTCGGTAGTATCGCCTTCTTGAGAGTCTGGAGGGGTGTTAACAGGCACTTCACTGCGCCAATAACGCTTCAATAACACAAACACAAAGCTGAAAATCTGAACGGCAATCACACGATCAACAAATTCTCGAGAACCCACCGTTCATTACGTTTCTTCCAATAAGGAATAGCAGCTGATTAGAGTCGCATATGGTCGATGAATGCAACACCCCACATCAAAAGTAGATTCGAAGGTAAGGAGCGAGATCACGAATAATCTCTGGGCATTCATCCACGCTATTCATTCTGCGATTCTTGCCATTTATTCAAAAGGCCCACGAATCTCCCTCATATGAGGGATCTCGAGCCGGTTAGTCGCAAGGCTAAGTGACGCGTCGCCAGGTGGCGGATAAGGGTAATCGTGGACCAAAATCGACCTTTACTTCCCTGAGACGCAGGTGGATCCAGGCGATGAACTCCCTGTTTCTGCTGCGCCGATTTGGCACACACTTTCTGTATTTGCTAGACGTATTCTTGAATGCGTGTGTGGGTGCGTTCTCGCTTATGCGGATTGTATTCTACGAGTCAGTTCGGTCAAAAGCCTGCGATCAAGTGATTGGGAAGCATATGGGAGGCGGTTAGGAGTTGCCTCCAACCAATAGGCTCCATGTCCACTCTGGGAGAGCCAGGCAAGCTACCCGTGAGCATACCCAGCACCCACGTTCAGAGCCCAGCAAGCTACACGTAGGTATCAAAAATGCTAAACGGATTTCGAAGAATTATGGTGACGATCTGTACAATGCACGTACACCTGCGTCCGAGTCCTCGATAGAAGACTTCCTCATGCAAACAAGAAGGATAAGGTACGACGCCATCGGCCTGGCCGAGACGAGAAGACGCCAGGATAAGGTACGACGCCTTTCAACACCGCCTATGACACCGGAGAAGAACTGTTCCTCGGAACATGCGACAGTAGAGGAGTAGGAGGCGTAAGCGTTCTCGTCGACACGAGCTTGTCCATGAGCATCGATTCATTCGAACAGCTTACAACCCGAATCGGGCGTTAACGGTTCAAAAGACGTAGATCGATACCGGATTCGACAGTCTTCGTCGTTTACGCGCCGACATCAAACTATGACGAAGAAGTCGAAGCATTCTATATGGACTTGGAGAAGTTCTACAAAGAAGACCACACATTCTTCAAGAACATCACTGGAGATTTCAACGCCAAGATTAGACCAAGAAGAAGGTCTGAAGAACGTCACATTGGGACCACAGATTAGAATGGAACGAACAGGGTGAGAGGCTGTCTGAGTTTATCATGGCGACCAAGACAATCCGTGGTAACTCGCAATTCCAAAAGCCCCGCCCTCAACGCTGGACGTGGGAGTATCCCAATGCGGAGTACCGTAACGAAATAGACCACATCGTAGTAAATAGAAGGTTTTGCCTAACCGCTGTCACTGTTGTCTCTAATTCTACATGGGATCAGACCACCGTCTCCTTCATGCAGCGCTCTATTTCTCGCGGAAAGGAGAAAAAGCCGCCAAATTCCAAAACTGAAGTCCCAGAACCACCGCAAACTGGGACTTAATCAATTCATTAGACGGCTGTTGGGAAGATGCCGTTGTCGATAACATCAACGTAGAATACGATCGGCTCATTCAACATCTTCACGTTAGCTCTACGAAAACTGAGAGTTCGAAAGTCACCAAGAGACGTTTGTCTCCAGAAACACTCAGGCTGATACGCCAGCGTGGAATCGCACGAGATGCAGGCAACCGCGAACTAACGTCCTAACTTGCATAACAATGCATACAGGCGATAAAAGAAGATCTTAAAGAGAGAAGAGCAGCAGTAATGGTCGAATCTGTAGTGGCTGGGAAAAGCATTCGCAAAGCCACCGAAGCTTTGCCAATTACAAGACCAAAATGATTGCACTACGACGCCCAGACGGACAGTTACGGCGTCCAGAAAGGCAATGGAGAAAATTTTTCACGAATGCTACTCAGATCTCTTCGATAGCCACGTCCACTTCTCGTCATATGAAATAAGGAGGATGGATATGTTGCATCACCGGTTCTCCCTTCCGAAATCCGACATGCCATCTCGTCTGTGAAAAAACGAACAGCACCGGCTTCGGACAGGATAAGACCAGAACACCTGAAAAACCTTCCGCCAAGCCTCGTAAACACACTGGCTCGGCTCTTCACACGTTGCCTTTCTGAATGCAAAGCCCCTACTCAGTGGAAGACCAGCAAGACCGTGAGAAGCAGCCTTGGAAGCCCTTGATAGTCAAGGAGTCTCTACTCAGTACATAAAGATCCTTCGTGAGCTGTACAAAAATTTCACAACATCACCATCCTGCAACGATATTAACAATGAAATCAAAAGGGGAGTTAGGCAAGGCAATACTATNTCACCAAAATTATTTACCACCACCCTCCATAAGGTTATGCGAACATTGGAATGGGATAATATGGGAGTGGAAATCGATGGTCAGCAGCTACACTATCTTCGCCTTGCTGATGACATCTTCCTTATAACACCAAACATTAACCAAGCGAAACGCATGTTTGACGACTTTGATAAAGCTTGTGGAAAGATTGGCCTTCGACTAAATCTCACAGAAATGATGTTCATGAAGAACGGATTGGTTTCGTATGCCCCATTGACGCTCAATGGAACGAATATCTCCGAATGCTCCAGTTATGTCTATCTAGGTCGGGTGATCAATATGATGAACGACCTGGTTCCAGAGCTGAGCAGAAGGAAACGAGCGGCTTGGGAAGCTTTCAAGACCATCGACGATGTAGTGAAGAGAACAAGAAACACGCGACTCCGTGCCCACCTTTTCGACTCAACTCTACCTCCTGTCCTAACGTATGCGTCAGAAACTTTGTCGCTGCCTAAGCAGGACGAGAGGTCACTCAGTGTTACTGAACGCGTAGTCGAAAGGACGATGCTAGGTGTATCCCGCTCCACACAAGTAAGGGATGGTATCTGAGGTTCCGATCTTCATCAACGATCAAAAATCAACGATGCCGCTCTGTACGCCAAACAGCCGAAGGGCCGGACACGTAATGCGTATGAATGACAACCTTGGACAAGAGCAGTTAGCGACTAGATTTCCCAGGATGTCAAACGTACTGCAGGAAAACCACCGATCCGATGGTTAGAGTTCTTCGCAAAGAGCCTTGAAGAAAGAGATACGATAATCGACGAGTTCCTAGAGAGCGAGCAGAACTCACTAGGCTACTCTTGCACGCGGCAGGGAAAAATGGAAGATTTACTGGCGCTCGCTCAAGTCACTCGACGATCAACGTGACTATAGGTGATATAGGTGATACAAAAACCTCAACAAGCTTGCGAGCTTGCGTTTTGGCATCTTGTGCGAGGGTAGTGACTTTTATATCAAAATCGTCTCCGGTATACGTTTGTATTCTACCCATCCCTAGAGGGGTACTTTGTCTTGCCTTTTGTTTGCCATCTAGGTGTCCTTTTACACGGATACGTAAGGGTCTGCCGTTTCGCCACTAATTCGTCTTCGCAAGTATTACAAGAGAACGGGTATATCGTACCTGAACTCGTGCAATCACCATCCCTGCCGTAAGGGCAAATCATGGAGTTCTCTGTTTCATATTGACGGCTATATAGGCGGTTACGAACTAACTGACCGTGAAGAAGGCGATACTGCCAAAACGTCGTCTTTACTGGAATAGAAAATGAATTAACACCGTTCAACAAGAATACCGAGAATTATTTGATCAATTCCGTTGTTAATAGAAGGTTAGTCGTGGAGGTAACTCTCATATTTATACAGCTTATCTAATACAAAGAGAAAATCAAAGTAGAAATTACAAAGTACTTTCAATGACGGGCTAAAACGGCCAGCTCAAGAGTGGCGGGTTCCAATTTCACCGACACCTCTACCCCAGAAATGTGAGGGAAGGGATTTCAAAACCTTCCACACACCTCTCAACCTGGACTTGGTGTCTGCCTTCATCAACGAATACCGCTGTTGCCAATGTTGTACACCTCACAGGAAACAGTGTCATCACCTTTGAAATTTTACTAACTTAATTTTCACTGATTTTTTGAAACCCTTTAGCCATTATTTCGTCATTTTCGAAAGAACAATTTGGGAGTGTTGCTGCATCGGTGGGAATATCGTCATCTTCCAAACATTTGTTCCATTCAACGACTCCTATTTCTGTTAGATGTAGGATTCTGAATTGTTGCAGGTTCAAGCGCGAAGTCTGAGTCGTGATTCGGTGCTAATAAAGTGGAGCCCGAGTGAGAAACCGAACGGTATCATTACCAACTACCGTATCTTTTATACGAATAAGAATCGGTCCACTCCAATCTCTCTCTGGAATATGGTAAGCACTTTCTATTCGAGAACTCTCGGCGTACGTGAAATTTACTTTTCAGCACGACACGAAGTCTGATGAGCTTATAGCAACACTATACGGTTTAGAACCTGAAAAACGATACTTCATCGTGGTCCAGGCCTTTAACGTCAAAGGCGCTGGCGAGCTGAGTGCCGTGTCCACCGTCACTACTAAGCACGGAAGTCAGTTTACCATAATGTGTTTCCACGTTGGATTAAAAAAACCAGTTAAGAGTTATCAAGAAATACTTGCCATATTTGCCTCATTTTCTGAGAAATATCGAAATGAACTGCTTTGTTTTGAGTGTCATGGTATTCTTTTTCGACTTATTTTCATGGTGTTTCTACCTTCTAATATGGCATTCAAGACTGCGTGGGGTTTATTTCTTCACCTTTATAACCTATTTCTACACTTCACTTCAGTTTTTGAGTTCTGCGTAAGTGAATCTCAAGCCTAGGAAATTATTCTCCACTTTCGCGCGCGCTGGTTTTGCGTGTTGTTGACGATATCCGTCCACATGTATGAGTTGGGTTGCTCATTCCATACTTAGTTAATATTGCAGTCTGTTAATGCCCGTAATCACGAAAAAATCGTGAGCCACTCTCCATGTAACTAACCCATTTCTCTAGTTTTCTGCCTGTAGTTACAATAGGCCGATACCAGCCAGATGGTTCACAGTTTGTCCACGTCCAAATGGCACGTGTTCTTAATCGGAATAAGACTTTCCACCCATGCGATACAACCAAGTGTCTTAAAAACAGAATGGTTTCCTCATACTTGAGCTTCAAAATGCGATTGCTTTTCAAAGAAGTCTAATCGTGCTTTGAAGGGCGGATAAAGCGCTACATATTGCATAGAATAAAGGATACGACCAAGACAAGAAAACCTCGTCAGAAAAGCTAGCTCTAAATTTACAATCTTCCATTATTTATCCTTCCTTTTACAGTACCCGGTCAACCAGTGTCAGTCACAGCGAAAGCACTCGACTCCCGCCGAGTGCAGCTCACTTGGGAGAAACCACTATTTTCACTGCCTGTAACAGGTAACATACAAGAAAGTTTTTGGATTCAGTAAAATTACTTCAGGTAATTTATGTGCTAGTTTTCTCAAAGGAGATCTCTCCTCGCATGACTCTCCCTCACTTCTTACCTATATCGAAAGTGCTAGTGTTTCAAGTGAAAGATTTTATTCCTAGAGAATACCTAAGAGATTTCCAGTGTTAATCCAGTGAAAAGGACTTGACAAATTTACCGTAACGTTTCGCATATCTTCTTTAGTTAAGGTACTTTTTTAGAAACCTTAGAAGAGAACTGATTTAATTTTGAGGGTATGTGGTGTGGTTCAATGACACCGACGGAGAGAAGGAGTACACTTTGACGTCACCTCATGAAAAGCACACTGTCATGGCACTCACTCCGGACACGACCTACGCTTTCCGGTACCGATTTTGTTTAGTACACAAAAACCCGTCACCGAAATGCTAGTTCTAATTATCGAGATGTTTGTAAGAAACAGCTTCTACATCCGAGCGGAAACTGAAAAGTGAAATTCGTCGGAACCACCAGATTTCTGTGAATTCATTTTTCGTTTCATTTTTGCTCGGTTTACCCTAGATGGAAAATTAAAGACAAGAATCCTCATCTCTTACTTTTATTAATATATTTAGCGTAGAAGAATGTTAAGTATTAAATATGAGAGACTAAATGTTATCCCTGTCGAACTTTCCCCAGTCAGCAACTGATGCTGAAGCGTTATCATTTTTGATAGTACCTTCCAAAAAATTGGCCGAAGTTTAATACAGCCAATTGTATGTCTGTATTCGGAGAACTGGAGAAAAAAATGAATAAGTCGGAATATTCGGGTCGGAAAGAAGTTATTTTTTGTGGTTCGACTATTTCTCGAATATTTTTGTTGTCCTTGTGTTTCCAGTATCTACCTTTGATTACAAATGCTTTTCATTATAATATTTGTACTACCACTTACAACACATATTCCCTTTTTCCGAGCTTTAGAGTGGCGGCGATCTCAGCTCGTGGTCAAGGCGAATTTAGCGATCCTATCCTGGTCACCACAATGCAGTCCAGTGAGTCTCTTTTGGATTTCTGCCAAGTTTGTTGTGCTTTTCGTGAATGTTGTGTTTGTGAACCATACTGGCCTTCAGCTCCACCGGTACCGCCTGATCTTTTGAGCGTCACGGCTATCTCGTCTTCCTCTCTGCATGTGGTCTGGACTGCACTCAATGCTAGCCAAGAAATCGTGCAGTATCGTGTTCGTTTTCGTGTTGTCGGTACAGAGGACGAGGTCCTGACCGATATCAGTACGAGCTACGAGGACGATGAGGCTCCAGCCACGAAATCGTCCGTCTGGAACTATGTGTTCGTGGATGCTAGGGACGTGATGGTGAATATAACCGACCTGATGCCGTTCACCACCTATGAGATCAGCGTTGCCGCACTAACCGAACAGGGCTTTGGTCCTGAAAGTAATCATTTGCGTGTACGAACTCATGAAGACGGTGTGTTTTTCGACAATATATTTTCTATCAATCATTCCTCTCAATTTCAGATGACGACGAAAATTCCCTACCTGGTAAGTAGTCGTTGTGTAGTGTTACTATGACTCAGTACTAGTAATTGTTTTTGTGATGAAAAAACGAGCAGTGCCAAATGTGACACTTGCAGTTGGCCTATGGAAAATATTTCTTTTTCGGAGGCTTGTCAAACATGATCTAATAGTATTTGTCCAAAGGTCTTTCAAGAAAAGCAGTTTAATAGAAAACGAGTTAGTGGAAAGAACTCAGGAAGGCCCTAATCGGAAATACGTACTTTTCCGCACTGTTCGTTTTGACGACTGCTGAGATCCAGCTTTCGTTCGAACTCCTAGTTCTTGGTTCTTTTTGATATACTGATCAATCTACCACCATTTATTAACCACTACATCTTCTCCCATTCAAATTTTGTCAAGGACCAGCTGAACTTCTGTTGAAACGTTACCTTACTTCCTTCATAGCTATCGTGAGTTTCCGTTAGGGCGAGTTTCATTGTCCCTTTGTCCTTAGCTATGTGACGAGCTAAAATAGGAACTGATTCCAGTTTTAAAAGACAAAGTGCTTTGCTTAAATAATTTTAATAACTAGGTGTCCAGCCCTCTTACGAACAGGACGGAAATCGTCAAAGTTTCTGCTTATGTAAAGTAGGTGTTGTATAACAAACCTCTTATTGTTTCATTGAGATTAGGTAGTCTAAGAATGAATATAATGTTAATTGAATGTCCATTGGCCTAAGGGCTTATTCACTTGCTCCATTTTTCTTCGCAGAAAGCCTCATTCCTTATTCCGTCTCTTGAATACCACTTTTCACTCTTCGAAATGTATGTTTTTCCTCTTATCGTTGCTATTTAACGCTCACTTACTTCATTAACTTTGCTCACATTCCAGCCAGAGTACTGCTTATATCGAGGAACATTTTAATTTCGTTTTGCATAATTGGAGTAAAAACATTCTGAGTTGCTTAGCTGGATAAAACCCAATTCTGTTTCGAGCACGTTATCAATATCGCGTACTTCCCGAGCCCTCAATTATCGATCCCAGTAGCACCAGGTCGGTGTGCCATCAGTGTCCTTTCTGAAGAAGAATCACTAATGATCGCTTATTGTGTAGATGAACGGGGACCATAATCTTAACTGAACCACATGGAAAAACGCATTAGCATCGTAAGAATAGGCTTCGTTTACTAGCTACAGCTGTCGCACTCTGTCCACACAAACTGTGTGCTTCAATTAACTTCGTTCATAGCAAATGCTAGATATCCTTTTCTTTGAAGTTATGGAAAGCTCTCACTCATTGAATAAAATTTACTCATTCACTCCACTCCCAATCCCATGAAAACAATGGAAAAGTCCAGCAATCTCATCATTCTCGCTCCTCTAGTACTGCTTCATAGCATTGTATAATTCTTTACTTTGGTAACTGTCTCTCAATCATCAAATCGACCATCAATGCGAGATTCTCCAATTCCACATTATGATTTTCCTCGGAATAAATCGAAATTTGTCCACATCCACATTGCCCTCACATTCCAGCTGTGCACCCTGGAGCGCTCGGAAATTTGCGAGACCGTATTCTTTTATTTACCAAGTGGGCCTTTCACATATAGCTCTATGCACTTTCGGAAACAGATGCTGCGTGTTCCTTGCCGGATTGTATTTCTGATTTGCATTAGCTCACGAGGGCTCCTTAATAATAAGTGCTTGTGCGAAGCAGGAGGTGACACGTGTGTGAGCCACGTCCTTCACACAGCAGATGCGTTCTGCTCGTGACCCATACCCTTCCCAGACACACTTCCTATTCACTACCGAATGTGTTCCATCGTCCCTAAAGCGACTCTCGGCACAACGACATCGACCACCGCACTAAACCCCATAATCTTCTATTGCGCGAACCTTGTCAGTCTTCAAGGTCTCGATGATATTTCTTTATTCTTACCAACGGTCTTGTTCATAATATCACAACAATTTACCAGTTTCTTCACCGTTAGCTTGAAGATTGGCTGTTAATGGCGTAATTGCTTCGAAAATAGTCTCTCAATGAGTGCTTATACAAGAACGCCTTTTCCTATTGATGTTAGGTCATTTCATCCTGGAAATTCTGGAGGGAAATCCAAAGGTGTTATACTACTGATGTATCATCTGTAAACCATTGTCGTGATGTAGATTTCTTCTTTCAAAAATTGGAAATCCTCATTTCCTGGGAAGTACCTGGTAATCGACTTACCAAAGTGCTAGTTTTTTATTCCAATTTCCTTTGGCAACCAAAGTCACATTTTTAGGACCAAGCCCTGAAGGAACTCCTTCGGGGAAGGTTTTCCAAAGTCATTAACTTGTGATTGATTCAATATAGCTTATCCGGCTGGGCTCTTCGCTATTTTCCATATCGGTTGAATCTTTCCTACTTAGCAATCTTCAATTAAAGTCGGTCATATGGTTCATAATCGAAATCTCACATCAGTTCGTATTCTCGGTAATGTTTCCATGGAACGCAGTCCGGCTGTTCTCCATTTAACTCTGAACAATAAAGCCTATTTGGCTCTGTTTTAGAATTTTTCCATAATTTCGTCATATATCAGTACGTAATTAGCCCATGCTGGCAAACAACGTCGAAGAAATGCAGATAGGATAGCCATTAATGGACACGAGAATATATCGGAAGTCGTCGACCTTGATGGAGCCGCGTGTTCTGCTCATTGTGACTCTGGATTGAGCTCCTTGCACATCGCCGACCCACTCGCGAAGTCAACACACTCCATAAGCACTGTCAATAATGTCTATTTCATGCAGTGTGGACTGCACTTCGTATGTTTGTCTTCACCATCGTTCACTACCGCCATCGCTGTCATTCGGCCTTCCCAAATCCTTTCCCAGGGCGTATTGGAAAATCCAAAAATATATTTCGATACCTGTTGCGTTCTACAAACTCCGCGCTATGTGCAGGTACTGTCAGAGACCACATCGAAGGAAAATCTCTTCTTTTATTCGATTATACTTAACCGGAAATGGGTATTAGGTTTAATGTGCGTCTTTCACCGCATCCCACACGTGTTCTGAAGGTAAGCGGAACTCCTACACGGGTCTTCCGTTGTTATTGAATTTTTCTTTTAGAGAAAAAAGTTCTTGATTATTATTATTGTTGTCATAACCCGTAAGCAATTGGTTACGCTTTCCATCCGTACGATATAGGCAGCGAAACATGCTCTGTTAACTATCGGTCTCGAATTTCAGAATGTCTCAGAGTTTATTCTATCGTCTCATCGACTAAAGTGCCTATAGGGATGACCTGCAGTCTTTTTAAGCGAATTCGAGCTTCTCTTCTTGCAGCTCACTCAAATGTACTCAAATCTTGTTTGTAGCCTTTCCTTCAATTCAGTACACTGCTTAACGTTCAAAAATAGTACATCAGGTATTCAATTGAACAGAGTCCCACTCCTGTCCTGCTCTTCTCCTCTCGTCTCCCACTTCGCAGCTCTCTGAATGATTCATATTCCGCACCACTCATCCACTGACAGCCTACGACCAACGCCTAACAGACACCTCTCATATCGTCAAACCGTTTCATCATTCATTCACCATCTCTCATCAATCTCATCGTGTTCTTCACCCGGAAACTAAAATTTCTTCACATTTGTACATCATTACACTATGTACATATATATTCCCATGCTGATAGTGTCTTTGACGTCCATCGATTTGTTTTCTACCATTTGACAAATCTCGAAGTCATAAACGGCCTGATTGCTTTGCGGGAGAATCGAACTAACCCACCTGGTGTTGCTTCTTTTGTGGTTCTTTGTTCGAGACCAAGTGTCTTCGCTGTAATCGAACAAGGTATTATTATTAGGCACAGTTTATTGAATTTCGATTTCTTACCCTTAGCTCTTTAGCAACATCAACGAAATTCTATCATCACCTATCGTAACTGAAAACCTACATTTTCGTGTCACTTTTGGATGTTGATGCAGTTGGAGTCTCTTCAAATATCATCAACCCAACGAATTGAACCAGCTTCATCATCGGTGTCATTTCAAGCTTCTGCAGCTGCATTCTTTGAAGACAACCGCTGTCCCTCGCATATCTGTCTGTTCAAGATGCTCGCGCATATAATCCAGTCGTGCATGTATTGCCAATGTTCTCATAATGTTCGTTCTATTTTTACCCAGTGCTTTTACCCTACACTATTGATTTACGTTAGCAACTACATGTTGTTTATTATCTTGTGCATTTTCTATAGTGTTTCTGTTCGTTTGGAAATTGATCAGAGCCGTCAACAATCTGCTTTCTGTTGAAGAGTTGTCTTCATATCATCCCAAATACTATGTCGCTTCTCCGAGCGTCCTGATAGATCGTACTTGCTAGCCAGAACTTGTTTCGTGACTCATTAAGCGAATCGGTGACTCTCCAACGAAAGTTCTTTCTTGGGAAAAACAAAAGCATAGCATTCTCTACTTTCATTGCCAATAATTCTCGATGAATATGTCGACTTCACTCAGCACATGCAACATGGTCAGTCTCGAAAAGGCTGTACACAAGCCTTTTCATGTAGAGCCATCCAAATTTCATCTTCACATATCATCTGCTCTCTATATGCCAGGAAAATCCATATTTCGTTTTTTCCATACGTATTCAATTAGATCATGGAGAAAGAGCATTCTTTAAACGTCAGGACTGTTAACAGCAATCTAATGTTTAGTTACACTGTTTGTTTTCAAAGACCGATCTTAATGGTTTTGTGAATGTCATTCCCAGTCCTTAATATTGTTTAAGTATCGGTCCAATAGAGCGCATGTAGAGCATGTGGTTAGAGTTCCACACGTGGTCTCCGGTTCTGTCCCATGCCCGGCTCGCCATGCTTGGCATCCCACCGGGTTTCGCAAATGAGTACCAGACTTGTGTGAGAGGGTAGCAGGGGGTGACTCGGTACATCGGTAGACCACCGTGAGTCATTGTATATGCTGGATATGCATTCAATCACCGCTAGCGTTGCTTGATCAAGACAAATCCATGTTGCATCCGTCAGGGAGTGATCAACGGCTAGAGATTTGTCAATTATTCTTTATCGTTGCGGGTGAAATCGGGTGAAAATTGTCGAATCATGTTGTTCAGTGTGAAAGCGATCGTATTTCAGTTGGCGCGTGGATTTTTCGACTATCCAAGAAGCGTTCCTCACGTTTCAATTTCTCCCTGTACGCCGTTTCTTTAGGACTTAGCCCATGTTAACTAATTAGCCCATGATTCTATGTACGTGTATGGCATGATTCTCGTTATTGCTGTTCCATACTTTATTATTCGTATTGCTCATCGAGTATGGCACTTGCCTTAAACTAACTCTTCAGATCTATTGACAGCTCTTTGCTTTCTTACATCCTGTTCCTGCTATGCATCATTTTGCCTGGGTGACGTTCTTCGATAGTAGAACGGCATTTCTGGCAAATTAATTCTTGAAGGAGAATTATCCTCAAAACGGACTTAGGTGTTTACATAATCCACTAATTATAGTGCGTCCGGGAAGAGCACTGCCCGTGGAATTCCATCATAAAAAATCCCTTTCCTGATTAAGATAATGATATTACTAGTAAAGCTGCGTGAAGGTGAGGTTGTACACGCCCAGATATCCTTATTAAAGTCGCATCCATACTGTCGTCGACCTATTCGGGTTATACGACTTTCGTTGCGAAGCCATCGAAAGTCTTAGGCGGCAAAGGTCAAGGAGAGGTGCGTATGATGACCAGACCTCTAGGACCTTTCTGACACAGTGTCTGTATTGAACCGTAGGAATAGGCTTGTTAGTGAAAGTCCTTTACATATACACAAATGTGTTATTATAAAAAGACATATGGTTTACTGACAATCAGGCAGCTCTGGTGAAGATTTCGTACTAAAATTCGTGTTTGCCCTATTTTTTTTAAAATGGATAGTGGGCGAATATCACGCGCATTGAAATCAATGCGTCTGGGCAGTGATTAAAAGATCTCAAGACCTTATTGACCGGCTTGTTTTGAGCGCTACATTCTCCACGTACTCACTGCAGCAAAATTCAGGCTTATCAGGCAGTTCATTTTATGCGTATTGATCGACTATCTCAAGTCAATTATGGTGGCCGGTTAGACGCTCTGGAATTTAATGTAATTTCAACGAATGCCGCTCAAAAAGGGAACACTTGTCCAGAATTCGATTGCTGTGTAACCGTGGGGCACACAGTAATCGTATTCTTGGCGCTTAGCGCTATATCCTTCGCGTTCTAAACGTGTCCTTTGTTCTCGCTGAAGTTCTAAGTACTTTCTACTTGTACTAAATAAAATTCTAAGTGTGTTTTCCTGAGTAGTAGAAATATCCCACAACGATTTCTTGTATTGAACTGTTGCAGCAGTTAAGTTCAAGTGTTCAAACTCGTAGGATTTTTCGACTGAAATGTCAAGCATCTGATGAGTAAATCTGCGTTTAGGAAAATCCAAATTTCCTTGTGGATGGCTTGGAATTGTTTTGGTCACCCCTGCCATTGACTCTGTGGTTTCTTGCTCTAAGTGACCATTGGATGGAAAGAATTGTCCGAATACCAGTACAATGGCCGTAGATCACTTCTTATGATTGCACAGGATTGTCGAGCCTCACTCCAGATGAAGGAAAGCACAACCGGGTCGCCTCGGCCATGGGGACGATGGGGCCAGAGATGGGACCACCGCGCGGTGACCTCCAGCCGGCCACCCGGGACGCACCGGCGTCCGCCCGAACCGGCGACCAGCAACCTATCGATTTTCTAATCATGGCGTACTCGTCGTGATGGTCTCGTCTCCCCTGTTTGCGTAATTTCGTAGGATCATGGTCCGTCTTCTGGGGACGGTTTCAAAGGGACCACTCACTCATGTGGTGTCGAACAATTTGTTTCGTGGTGGTCACTCGCGTCGCCATTTCGTAAATTAATTACACACTGGCGGAGTGGTAATTGCGAGAGTGGAAGTATTGATGGTCCATGTGTGGTTCGAAATTGCCTCATTCATAGGAACCACTAATTTCGACAAATTCCCCGCGGTCTCCGCCATCGTCGCCTGTTTCTAGTTCTATCCTTTCCGTGTTCTATTCAAATTCGATGGCTGTGCAACTGTGAATAAGGCCTTCTTAACGCTTACATCTCTCATTGTTCTCACTTTTATTTTTATCTATTTTATCTGTTTTATCTATTTCATCGATTTTTCGTCTATTTGGCCTAATCACTTAAGAATGTCGAGCCAGAAATGTGTGATCGTGTTGAAAGTTTCCTTTTTCCTCCTCTGAGAAACGTTTTTTGAGCCTTGGACCACTATTATTCCATGTTTTGTTCCTTGTTTTTTGTTTGTCTTGACCTTGCATGGCACAAACATTGACCTGAAATCCCGCTGTGTCTAGTTTTAGGACCTGCGCTACTCGTAGTGAAGCTAAAAGCTAACATAAATTCATAATGAATGTGATATATTACTAAAACTCCGAAGAGCGATTAGTCCATCTGATGCATGATGGGAGCTCGTTTATATTGATTGATTGCCCAATATGAGGGGTCATTGTCTATACTTACTGGTTGCTCAAAATGAGGGGTGATAGTTTATATTGATTGGTTGCCTAACAGCAGAAGAGCAATTGGTTGACTTAAGGTTGTGCATAGTATGTCGGTACTTCTCGCCTTTCAACTTCGTGGGTTATTTTTTATTTTGGCCTTAGGTCACTCTCCTAGGCAAAGTTCCAAGGTAATGAAGCTTTAGTCCCCAGTTAGTTTGACCGCCACTGATCACTGCGTTTCTCGCCTGAAAAGTGCTGCTAAATGAATTTGTGACGGGGATGAGTTTGGCATCGCTCGTTAACTCTCAGCGCTCTACTCGACGATTATTCTCCTACTGCACTTGTATATCAACTCATTCATATTCTCATATACGCTCATATCCTTCCTCGTTTAGTTTAAGTTCTACCTTTTTTTTCGGCTAACTGAATCTTTCATTAGGAGATGTGTATCTACGAATTTGGAGCTTTATAAAGCGCTATGGGTTTAATGCCCCGAATATTCTTTCTCTTATTTTTGCCACTGAATTCGAGCAATGCTACATCTCAACGACAGAAAGGTGAGTCCATCCATATCAGCGTTTTTGCTCCGTTTCGCCTAGTAAAGTGGGACTTATACGGTGCACAATTTCGTTGTCGGTAATGGTTGAGTATCATATGCTATGCAATGAATTTAGTCTGAGAGCCATTATATTACTACGAATGTGTAGTGGGATTTGTTTGATGCGAAGCGAGTCCATTCCTGCGTCGGATCGATCGCATGCACATAACTCAAAATGTCGGACTGAGGTAGCGGAACGGGAGGGAAAAAATAGCCTTAGTGCATCCGTAAGAAAGCAGAGTCGAACACCACAAATCACTCATTTTCAACCCACGTGTGGTTAATTCGGAGTACTCAGTTTCTTCTGATAGTCAGTAACAAGGCCCAATGGTTAGCGTCTGAATCTAACCACTTAGTGCTTAGATAGTTGTCAAAATCGAACATTATTTAACCTCGGGATGAGTAGTTTAAGAAAGTATTGAGTGCTTAGAATCTTAATGTCGCCTATGCTTGCCTTTGGAATTTATGCAACGCTGGGTTTTCACTATGAACTTGGGGCGCCATCCATTTCGTGACCCACTTAGCCCTCCGCGTAACATAAAGATCAGTTGTTCAAAATTATAGGATCGCTGTTGAGAAAGAACCCTCACGTGGGAAATCGGTGTGGATGAAGGAAACGCAGTTTGACGCTGTTTGGTGGTACTTGTAATCACTTTGGTCATCGAGTAATTCGAGTGGTTTTCAGTAGATTTTCCTCCATTTGTCACGCCTAGGCCCCAGATCTTTTCGTTGTACCCCGTTTCTTCGGCATAGAAACAGCGTTCACAATTTATAGACACACTTTATTCTTAATGTTCTTGTTGATAAAATAACCGATGGTAGTTCTTCTATCTCTGCAGTGGTGGACTTAGGTGGTGATCAATCCATTTCATTATCGACAAATTCTTCGGTTTTACAGAAGAAACATCACCACCTGTCGTTCCACATTTTACACTGATATTGTCACTTACCTATAGAAAAACTCAATAATGTCATCTTAAGCTTCTGTGTGGATTATTTGAAATTTCATTCAAAGTCCAGGTTATTGATAACCTATAAAATTTACCATATGCTAAATATTTGTGTCGAATATTAACTGTCTTAGATCATTCAGCAAGACTTCATTCATCTTTAATTCATGTAAGGATTATTGGCGACTTTTCCCTCCTACCTTCTTCCGTGCGTGGTTCTTTGACTTTCTGTTATGCCAGGCTATACGAACACCGACATCCAGTCACCTTAGTTAGAAATTTGACAGTTATCTACTTGTTCAAGGTGCTTTTAAGAGGGCTATGCTCAAAGCAAGTTATTTTAACAATAGAAAGGATTTTAAAACGAATTTGTCTAAGAAAAGAACAAATCTAAGTAGTTTGTTTCCCGAGCGGTCATTGTCCACAATCGTCATCCAGTGATGGCATCGCTGTCGTAGAGGCGCCTGTTCAGTTTATTTAGAAATTAGTGGGATAACATTTTGCAAGTGGACATAATTTCGAAACGTCCGTATAATAAGTTGAAGTGGTCTAGGGATATGCTATTTGTGGTCCTTGGGTTTCACCGTTTGTCTCGAACTTTTGAAATTCAAACAGAGAATTTGACGTACCTCATTTCCTACCATAAAAACTGAATGAGATTTCATTTTCATTTTTGCTTATGTGCTGGTTAATCCCCCAACGGTTTCCTGAGTGTCGGACTGTGAAGTACAGCGAGGAATTCATCGCCCTGGCAGGGTCTCCCAAGCTGAGGAATCCGACATTTGCATGATGAAGTCCAGCTAAGAGTAGACAAATACCAAGATCCACCACCGTTCTGGTATCAAACTAGTCACACGGTGCAAATCTCCCTCTGTTCCACAAGAGTGGCTACTGCCTGTGGTAGTGAGCGCATGGGGCAGACTTTGGCCAGGTTAACCTCTGGACTGCAGTAACGGTGTTATTAGTGTGATTCCTACTAAAAAGAAAATAATAAAGAGAGAATCTTAATGCAGTCACCAAAGGAAAGCACTTTAGGCCTACGTCGTGAAATACCAAGTCTATATATTCGCTTAGGGCACGTGTGGCGTAGTGATCGGAGGCGCCTTGCAACATACACGTGGAATCGATCCCAGCGCCTAAGGCCCACCAAGCCTTCCATCCCTCCGGGGTCGGCAAATTGGTACCAGACTTGTCCGGGAGGATAGCAACACTGGCTCAATACATCGGTATGCCACAGCGAATCATTGTAAAGGCCAGTTATGCATCCAATCACCTGCAAACGATGCTTGTTGAAGTCGAATGCATGGCGCATTCCTCAGGGATTGATCAATGCCGAGGACTTTATCCTTTTTTTATATATTCCCTTTCAGATATTAATCCCGCCTTTCGGTTTTTGTAGAGTAATATTGTATAATAATCCATTATCAATAACAAGTAATATTTCTGAAAAGGCCTGGAGTGATTGAACTGAAAATGGAAACACCTCTTTACTAGCCGGATTAGTCCAAGTTTTTAAAAATTAGTGGAACATGATGTACTTATGAGAAAGTACTGATGTTATAAATCCCTTGAATAGGATCTGAAAGATAACCTTCCGAGCCTTTTCTCTGAGAAGAATGCCAATGTAAAGATTAGATTGTCGCTGTTCCATACTATTACTTTTATTATTTTATTGCACTTTTTCCCAACATATTCCGTTTCCCTTAAGCTCCATGTTTCAGTTCCATCAGCCCCATTGAATTTCGATGTTGTCCTGACAGCTCCAAATCAGGTGAGGCTTCTACTCTTATAATCTAAATTAACACTTCATAGTGGCGTGTGTGGCATGGTGGTTAGAGTCGCCCTGCAGTGCTCATGGGATCGATCCCAATGCCCCAGGCTCACCAAGCCTTCCATCCTTCCGGGGTCGGCAAATTGATACCAGACTTGTCTGGGTGGATAACAGCACTGGCTCGATGCATCGGTGGGCTACCGCGAGTCATTGTAAAGGCCAAAAATGCATTTATTCACCTCCAAACAATGCTTAGTGAAGTTGAATGCATGGCGCATTCTTAAGAGATTGCAACGAGAGCTTTATCCTTTTTTATTCTTTAACACTACATAAAACGACTAAGAACACGCTCTAGAGAGCATTTCCTCAGTCTTTCAAATGTGTGGTAATCCTACGTTTTTCGTAGGTGAGATTAACCTGGGATCGCCCACTACATGTGAATGGTCATAGCAACTTTGGAGGCTACTACGTCTATGTCGAAAAGCTGCTGAACGGCGAGCCAGTGAATAGACGGCGTTCCAAATACGACGTTATAAATGACCTCTCGGTACGATCGTTAACTGCAATATTTCTTTTTTTCATAGTATCAGATAATTTTTTTTTCTTAAGAAACGTTATTGGGAGATCGATAAGCTGGAGCCCAATACGGAGTACGCATTCCGAATGAATGCGTTTAACCGCAATGGAGATGGAGAGTATACGGAAACGAAACGGATAGTCACTGGAGGAATTCGTGCGTTTTGTGCTCGTAGGACTTCCATAATTTAAATTTATGGGACTATCATATATATATAATTTCGATATATCTTACATCGTGTATGATATTTTAGCTCCACAGCAACCTGAAATCCAATCTGTTGTCTTGCTCGGTGATGAAGCACCACTAAGAGCCCGTGTTGAGTGGAAGAGACCCCAGCTGGCACCACTCGAAAGTCCTATTGATAGGTATGGTTGACCACTAATTTAATTCGACATCTAGTTTTTATTTATCGGGAGCGATATCGAAAGTAATTTGTTACTATATTTTCTGTTAAATATGTCCTGCAACGTAATAATGTTGAAAATTTTCGTAGTAGGATATATTGGGGATATGTTGTTGACTGTTTACATACATACATGCTTGGATACTTGGATGGCCCGTTTTCAAGCGTTGTGAGGACCCCTGCACAATTTCCATTTTTTCGGAGTTTTGCCAGTTTAATCACTGTGGCTCCTTGGAGTTCTGAAGTTAACCTGGCCAAAGTCTGCCCCACGTCGTCATCACCACTGGCCAACGCTCTTGTGGTTCAGAAGGAGATTCGCCACCGACCGTGTGACTATTTTGATACCAGGACGGTAGTGGATCCTGGTATTGGTTTACTCTTAGCTGGGCTTCCTGATGGAAATGCCCGACACCTTCTCAGCTTGGGAGACCATGCTGGGTGGTGAATCCCTGCTGTACGTCGCAGCGCTATACTCAAGAACACCTCCCAGTCGCGATGAGGCGCTAAACCGTTAGGTGGGACTGTGCAGTGGTGTTTAACCGCAATAAAAATTCAGTCAATAAAATGGTTGTGACATTTTACGCATTTTATTGACAATATCCATTGTTTAATGGATAACGAAAACATGGCTTGCTCCGTTGCTTTGCCAGAAGTATTTCAGGATTAATCGGAATGGCTGTTTAGTTTACGTTCTTTGTTCCAGATACAACCTATGGTATAAAGCCGAAGGTAATTCGCATCACATGAAGAAAGTAGTAAATGGTACAATGAATAGCGCGGAATTAACTGGTCTATGTAAGCATAAATCTTCACGTGTACGCTTAGTCAATTTTTTTCTCGATACTTTGAAGTGATATTTTCTCGCGACAGTGATGGGACGCGTGTATGAAATCTTGCTGGGTGCTGAAAACGTAGAAGGCCATAGTAAGAACGCCACGGAGCAACTGGTTACGCCCATAGGGAATCCAGAAGGAGAGCCGCTCAACGTACAATACGAGATAGTCAATGGAAAGGTGTGTCTGACAACTTCTTGTCCTTCTCAAATAGCCATTTCTTTAGGATTTAGTTATTTAAGGACTTCTTTTGGGAATATTATATAAAGTTTCTTGAGAGTACGTTTGGTGTGCGAATTTCTGTAGCACCTATCACATAAGTACTGTCGATGGTGAGTTTTATTTCGGCCGTTCTCCAAATCCGAACGTTTCAGTTGTTAGTCGTAGGCTAAGAATAAATAATAAGATGAAGCTCTCGGCGTTGATCGATCCCCTAGGGATAGGCCATGCATTCGACTTCATTATGCATCATTGGGGGTGATCGAATGCATATCTGGCCTTTACAATGACTGGCTATGGCCTACCGATGTATCGAGCCAGCTATCCTCCAAGGAAGTCTGGTACCAATTTGCCGACCCCGGGCGGATGAAGGGCTCGGGAGCCGCGGGGATTGATCCCATATGTATTGCAGAGCGCCTTCGAGCACTGCGCTTCATGCGCTACAAATAGGAAAGGAACAAAAAATTGTGAATTGAGCGATAAGTGAGAAAACGAAGTATTCTGAAACTTCTATTCTCACGTGTTAGTTTTTATCGTAGTTCAACCAATGTGGTCTTTGGAATTATTGGAAAGCAGAGCCTTCGGGCAACATCATTCTGGGGGAAGAAAAGTACTTTCTACAAGATTAGAAACATCTGTTTACACTTTACGCTGTGACTCTTTGATAAAATACTTCCAAACTGAATAGAGATCTCCTTTGAGTATTTCCACTGATTTGAATTTCTTTTACGTCTCATCGCGTAATTGGTTGCTGCGAAGATTTGTCGAGCAGCCCCATAGCAGTTGTAATACACCTCAAGCGTCTCTGCTCACTGTGAAGCGAGCGGTTTTGCTCGAGTTTTTATCGTCGGCATTGTGGTTCGGTGTTTTACAGCGCTGGAAATATACGCCAGATGTGTGGTGCTTCGCTTCGTTCGTGTTGTTTTCATACTGCTCAGCTACGCGCATAAGTAACGCTGTCACGACAGAATGCGTCTCCTTTGTAAACCTTCTGCTTCCATTGCGTGCCATTAGTCTCATGTCTTCCCGGAATTTTGGGATTGGCAAGGTCTGCTAAACCGAGTAATATCTTTAGCACTGCCTTGAATTTAGTCTCAAGTGTTCCGTTTCTACATATCTGCTGTTTTCGTGATGCGCCGTGTATTCAGATGCGGATATCTTGGGAACCGCCTGCCGAAGATAGACGTAATGGAAATATCGCCGCGTATAAGGCCATTTTGACACCGATGGTTTCCGATGGAGAGCGCATCGAAAAGCAAGTAAGTCTTGTAGCTCACCTGTTTTGTAACCATAGGAAAACATTGGGTCCCTACTTTAGGTTGTGCTCTACGTTTCTGTTTCATTTCACATAAGTAAGCATAAAACTGAGGACTATGCCGTTCCTCAAACGTGTGAAGCCATTTGTTCGTCATCATAAATGTAGTTTTCTGAAATCTATTCATCTGAGGTAGTGTGGGCTTAAGTGGTTTGAAGTCACATCATCTAGGAGATTGTCAGAGATAATAGCAGTGATAACAGAGTTTATGGAGATAAGGGTTAATGATATTAGGGAGACACTTTCAGGTGTCTATTCAAGAGAAATAACTTTGTGTAAAACTCACAAAGAACTAATTTCCTGAATTGGATGAAGTTCTTTTTTTCCGCTTTTTGTTTCGTTCTGGATTTTTTCCTTTTGCTCAGTGATAATGATAAGATTTATGAGCTGTGTCTTATTCCGTTGCTCATAGGGCTGTGCGTAAGTTCGATGTTATCCACTTTTTCATGACAGCTCCTCCAAGGAGAAGAGTTGCACTTCGTAGCAAATATGGATTCTAATTACGCCAAAAACTATGTTCGTATAATCTCAAATGAAGCATATCCGTGGATGATAAGCCTAAAACTAAATTTTACCTCTTCGTAGACATTTACCAGAATTCCAAAGGTCGGCATTCAATACAACTCGGCATTCTCATTTTCCATTACTCTTTTTAATATGGGATGTGAGGCGTCTCAATCATAGAAAAATGACGCTTTACCGGAAGTGATTAGCATAAAAACCAAATACATATTGATTTATTTATAGAAACTAAGTAATTATTGATCTAAAGTTGGCATATGATGTGAAGAAAAATGTGAGAGGCGTCTAAGAAGTAGGGAAATTAGACACTCACTAAGGATTATGCAGAGTGTTGATGTTTTGTTTCACCCCTTATTGTAAAGAAGTTACCGAATGGAAGACGATTCTTATCCGTTCTCCTCCATCAAGTGTGCATTCGACTGTCCTCACTCAGTTTTCCTGCCTTTCTTCTCACTATTTAATTTCAATATACCTTAGTAATTGGTTTCATTATGCCTTCGACAGCATCATCATCGCCGGATCTCCTCATTCTTTGCTCTTGGCGGTCTTTTTCGTATCTCCGACTTTGTTATTGTAAATTACGAAATTCTACCTGATTGATGTCCATTGTTAGGGTCATGATTTCAATTAGACATATTGCTGTCTTTGCTCCTTTAATTGTAGTTTTGTTGGTTGCTATGAGATAGTGCAGAATGCCACCTTTATTCCCAATCCCTAGTGCTTCTTTGGCTGCAAATCCTAGAAGGATTATGACACTTTGCACTCCCTTCTAATACCTTGGGAGTTTTCCTATATTTTTATTTAATGACTCTTGTTCATCACAACGTTAACGAAGTTTATTGTTCAGAGCTATGAAGGAGAAATATTACCAATCGTTCGCGTCGACTTAGCGATGTAGCCTTCGCTTTCATTTTTCTTATCCATTATTTATGGCAGCGTTTTTTTAACTTTATATGCAAATGTGTTATGTTATACGCAAACTGATCTCATCATAGAAATGTAGCGTTTGTACGAACGGACTGATCACATCGCTTTTTAGTGGTTATCAGTGGTTATCGTCATAACTTTGCTGTTTCTTGAATGTGTCCCCGTGATTGTGATTCGCCATGAGATCAGCTTCTTTCGAAGTTTCGCCTGGATAGTTCGAGGATTCGAGGCAGTCATCCGACTCTCCGGATACTTGTATATTTTGCGCATTGTGCAATCGACTAGCGTTTTACGCAGAAATTGAGCAATCTGTCATTCACCTATCTTCATTTGTTTTCCTGTTACGCCCGAAAAGCGCTTTTCAGCTTTCTGGCTTGCATATCAATTTTTGTGCCCGGAATCAATTTTGGCCGTTCAGCGCCTTGTGATGCTTAGATTTTACTACGTGCTCGTCGTACCCGCAGATATGTAGACGAAGAGAGCAAGTCCTGCCTCAGTAGGAAATACCTCTTTCTCGTAGTGGAACTTCATCTGTGAAACGCTTCTATTGCTGCTTCTGACCTCAGTTACTTTTTCCGATCGACTGTTATCATTATGTCATAACATTGCCTTAGCTTTCGCTTAGCTCGTAAAGCGTAGGGATTCTGCAAGGGTTTCGGCATCGTTCGCTCCCTTTATGACCAAAGATATTTTTTATAAGGTTCTAGGACTACTGTAAGTTTTTTCGACTGAAGTGTCCCGAGATGTACTTTTTGGATTTTCCATACACAAATTACAGCTGAAGTTGTTCAGTAATGGGTGTTGGCGTTTGAAAAGCTGGATTGTCCCACTTCTCGTTTCTCTTAATGGCTCTATTTGCGCTTATATTGGAGTGCCGTCACATGTGATAAGTTCAGCACGGAAGATAGCCCGAGAATTCTTAGTGCTTTACTGCGAAAGATCTAAAGAAAACAGATCTTGGGTGTACTGTCTAGCACTTGTCTACCTGCATTAGCTTCCTAGCTCCTACTTGTAAGGTACACTCGCCATTGAAGTTCTCTTTTTCACTTCTTTTTCTTAAGTCTTTTTTACTTGCTAATTCTTTTTTATTTCTCGAACAAATCGGTAGACAATCGTTTCTTCATTGTTTTCTAAAACAATATTTTTCAAATCGACCGTCATTTAATCCGGTAATAGTGTTAATCAATAACTTCTTGGTTTGACAGGCTAACAAGAGGTTGGTGATGATTTCCATAGTAATATATTACTTATAATAAAGATCTGTATTAACATCGTGTTGGCATAACAATCCAAAAGATACCGTCTTCCAATTTTCAACAAGAATTTTCATTTCCTCATTTTCTAAAGTCATCGTAGTGAGTCGAAGTGAAAATATAGAGCATGGAAATGTATACACCGGATATCGGGTACCTTTCCAATAGTCTACCGCCTCATTATGGCTGGGAGGTTTTCCTGGGTATAAGGCTGCGATGCACAGCTGAGAGATTCATTTTCCCAGTAGAACCCTCAGCTGTGCACCCAGTAGAGTCTTCCAAGCTGAGAAGGAGTCCGGTGTTTCTACAATGAAACCCAGCTAAGAGTTAACCAATATCGGGATCCACCACTGCCCTGGTATCAGACTAGTCGCATGGTGGTAAATCTCCCTGTGATCCACGAAGGCGGCGAGTATCTGTGGTGGTTATGACCTGGAAGAGACATTGGCTAAGTTGACCTCGGAACTCCAGGGAACTGCAGTGTTTAATCTAGCAAAACTCCGAAAAAGTGGAAATTATGCTGAGACTCGCACAACCACTTCAGACGGACTATCCAAGTATCTGAGTATATATTTGATGCAGGAACTCAACTGTGTGGTTCAAGAGTTAATTTTGCGAAATTTTTATTCATACGAAGAATTATCTATTTTTAGAAATCTTTGAAAAGCTTGTGATTGCAGTTTTAGTGTTTGTTATTCTGGAACAAATTTGAAAGATTTTCGAACCACTTGTAATCTTTTTAAAGCATTTTTTATAAAATTGTTTCTTCCAGTCCCTTAAAAAATTTTCGACCTGCTATTTTTGAAATGTCTCAACTCAAAGCTTCTACCACTAGGTTATGTTGTACTGCACTGTGTCAGCTCTCATACAAGTTCCAGGTGACGGACGGTTCGACTTCCGCGACATTCGCCGTTGACGTACGGAAGGCGTACACGTTCAAAGTGGCAGCAGCGACTATGAAGGGACTCGGTCCGTTCTCGCCTGTGCTCACCATCAATCCCGATCCGGCTGGTTTGTTTCGAGCTCTAATTTCCGCTGAAGTTTTTATCTCTATGCTTTTGCTAATTACCGCTCCAACCGACGGCGCCAGGGTGTTCATAAATTCAGTGCTAATGTTGCTAACAGCCGTCTCACTTGTTTCCGCACTTGTTCATTGCTCTAAGTGGAAGTTACATTGTATGGTTGAATGGATTTGTCGGACTTCTCACCTTTTTTAGTTCATTACACTTATCTGCCTTGACGGCGCTGTTTGATTCGACTTTCCACTGTGAACGAGAACGATTGAATGCAGGTGCAGATTATTATTAGGAGTTTCCAAGAACATTTCTTACCAAACTAGTGGTTTATTCTTTAAATTATTCGTTGGCCTAAGTCGATGTGACACCAAAAGTAAGCGAGCGAAACATTCAGACTTCTTATTCATTCGTAGTTTTCTAACGTCCGAGTTATTGGATGGTTGTGCACTGCTTTCTATGGACTTCTTTTTTTTCATTAAAAGCCACTTTGTCTAAGAATGCGGATCGATGGAAAACACTGCTTTTTCTGCAAGCATGTGCGCATAGTCGGTAGTTTGGAGCCTCTGAATCAGTAGCGGTATTTTTAATGGTTGTGCTTCCCACTTTATGAATTGATTGTTCGAGCATTATGATGTAAGCTGGATGATTTGTGAATGCTTGCCTGTGAATGTTATCTGTTTGAGAGAATAGGAAATGAGCAGTCAGGTAATCAACATGTGACTGACTGAGCGAGCTCTGGCAAAGATCCGCCAGGTCATTGTCCCCAGGCAGCAAATCATTTCCAGGATGACCAGGTTTTCGAATGTTTATGTCTACTTATTCATTTCGAATTTTGGAATTCAATGCTAATGCGTCATGTAGCAAATGCAAGCACGAGACGCATTCACCATATTTTATTGCCTTGCGAGAACCCCGTTACTATTTCTATTTGATAGTGTTCTTTGCATCTCTAGCGCTGTATCCGTGGAGCTGAAGTATTTCTGCTAATACCAAGTGGTACCTATCAATACCACTACCCAACACTCTCAGTTTCGGTTTATAAGTCGTTTTAATGTGCACCTGCATTGCGTAGCACCTAGCGCTTTGCCTGCATTAGTTGATTAAACAGCACTTTGACAGGTCCAGACAAACGTTTTCTGAGCTAAATTGGTGTCTGTCGATCACTCATTGGGCTCTTTATGTTCTGTTCGGTATAGAAATTGAAGAAGTCATAAGACCAACCACACGTCTTTTTTTTAACAAATGGTATTTCAGTTATTAGGCTAGTAATGCTCGGCACGCGGATTGCTGTCTTTTGCTTGATTAATATCGCCTCACTTGCCTCTAAAGGCTTCCTGTAAACATTTGTGCTTGTGACAGGTGTTATATAAGGTGAAATTGCAATGAGATTCTCATTGATTTAGAAATTTAGTGCTTCTTTAGTTCCAATTATTTTCACGTGGGCACGTTTTTCTTTTGTAATACGTATTGTCTAACTGGAATAGCAAACTATTTTTCCTTCTGATGTGTTTACCTGAAATGGTCCATGTCATGTGTGTTTTGTGATCCAATGTAGTCAATAACTTCGGCTGATTACACTAATACGTTTTTCGTTGCTTAGTAAATCTCGTTATTTTTCTTTTACTAGGAAGGTAACTAGGTAAATTTTTCGCTTATGTAAGGATTAATGACTTTCTAAAAGCTGAGTTTAATATAGAATGGATCTGAATAGATAAATGGTCGTGGGTACTGCTGAGCTATGAACTATGGACGCTTGTGGTGCAGTGGTCGAAGGCGCCATGCAACATACATGGAATCGATCCCTGCGCCACTGGCCCACCAAGCCTTCCATCCCTCTGGGGTCAGCAAATTGCTACCAGATTTACTGGGAGGATAGCAACATTGACTCGATGCATCGGTAGGCCACATTCAGTCAACTCCGATGATGCTCAATAAAGTCGAATGCGTTACGCATCGCTAAGGTGTACTTGTGGAATGTCTCTAAGTAGCCACGTGGTTGGCTTCTTTCCATGTATGAGTTTTACTGCTGAGTAGTTTCCTGTCTGCTTTCCATTACAATTGTCCTTTACTAATGCTACCCACTATTCTGAAGTTCTGTTCGAATAACATGCAGTGAATGTGGGTGTGATAATGGTTTGTGTTGGTATGGCGACTGCACAGAGGAATGTGACTGCGATTAGTTGTATTGTGTTGATGCACCGTGAATGGGCTATTTACAGATGAATAGAAGCCGGTGCACCATTATCTCCCCTCGTTCGTTTTCTTGTCTCAGTTCATTCTTGCATATTTGCTTAATCACACACTCACGCCTGTGATGAACCTTCTTACATCCGCATATCGAACCTAAGAACTTTTTTTCTTCAGCGTCACCCTGGCTTTCGTATGTCCGCTGTTTCCAAGACGTCACGTTGCATCTGTTCCTACTTCGGTACTGTCTGTCTTTAAGCTATGCGCGACTCTACTTCTGTCGAAGTGGCTATGAATGTTGACTCTGAAGAGACGGAAACCCCTGGCTCCAGCAGTAGCACTTTAGACATCCTCGATGGACATATTTCACCAATGATTTGTAAGGATGGGATCGTTAACAATCTTGCGGAATTGTTAAACTATATTGCTTCTGGATGGAGATATCATGTGTCAAATACGGATGGCGTGAAACAAGCATGGTCCAAATTCGACAATGTCACTAACAAAATTTGCAGCTTTATGGCAGGTAAGCTGTCACGGCTTAGGTCGCTAGCACGAAAAATCATGTCTAAATTTTTAATAAGAGTAATCGCTAGCTTAACTAACTTTCTCAGATGACAAGAATGTCTGCTGAACATTCAAGTTCAAGAACCTCACGCTTCACTAATTGATTACTCGGTCTTAGACCTTCTGTGAACCTCAATGTGTAATTTAAAGAGGATGCCAAAACATCGTCTCACCAAATTGATCATCTTAGAATTGTGTGCAAGGGTGCGATCTATTCCGGGATTCAATTACTTTGATAGTGGCATCTTCTCTTGTCTAATTAGTTCCTTATGTCAGTTCGTGTCGTCGTATCGGTACAACTTTGTGGTGCGGGAAATTTGCTTGATGGACTTTCACTTCCATTGGCCAAGATGTCACCAAGCTACCCTCGTGTTTTTGATTTGTCTAGTTGTTTTCGTTCTCTTCGACAGTTAACATTCAGTGAGTGAACGTAGCTCTTAGGTAAGCACTTCTGTCGCTCTATATCCATTTCAGCTGCACACCGAGGTTCTCTCACATTAGTGAATTGAATTAATTCGGAATCCTTCAGCTGCGATTCGTCTGCTTTCGATTGTGCACATAGGTTTTCGTCACTTACGAGTTCAAACTACATTGTGTGTGTTTGCACGGCCTAATGCCACGAGTGCTGCTGTCATTCCCATGAAGACACTGGTTTTATAATTTGCGAAGCTTAATAAAACCCTTCAGCGAATATTCGTTCACTATTTATGAAAAATCGCTACGTCGTCGTTACTAGAACTCGCCGCCAAATCAGAGTTAAACCACAAACGTCCACGAGAACCCGTTACCATAAACTGCATATCCAAAAGTCGAGGAACAAGCGCCCTAATCTTTACGAGGACGCTGCCAAAGGCACGTATATTTTTGGCGTCTATGATGCTTATTCTGTTGATTGTTGGAGCTCTTATTTTGTGTTATTGGCACATAAACTCTAGTTTAGAAATAAAGTTATTCGCTTCAGTGTGCTCATCTGTCAGTGCACTCAAAGTGGAGCCGACGATAATGTCAGCACCGACGGCGGAAGGCGGCATCTCCAGTGCAGATGTGTTTGATGCAATCGTCAACCAGGCACCTGGTCCACTAGACGTTCCCTTAATGAAGCACATCTCCTTGCCTCACATGGCAGATTCGCTTAACGTGATACCGCCAACGTCATCCACAACTCATCGTCCTGGGATTGTAGACGTCACACTACCGTTTCCCTCTACTACATGGTTTCTTTCGAAAATATTAAGTATGCCACTTTTTATCATCGCTTACTACATGGTATTTTATAACGTAAAATTAACTTTACATTGATGACAGCCGGATCGCTCGACTGAGGGCACATTACCGTTGAGTCTTCAAAAGTTTCCCATTTGACTAACGTTTTCAATTAGATGTAGGCAACCATCGGTTAGCAAATATTTCATGTAGTCCGCCAGACATTGCCGTTTTCATAGCCAAGTTGTTTCTCTTCACAAGCTGCCTTAACTCAAGGCCAATATATCGGTCTGCGCGTGTACCTTTACGCGATTTCCGTCCTGCAGGCTATTATGCCTGCTATTGAGTCTCGCCCTTTGTTGCTTTAACGACTGGTTTACGCTTGAGTCGCATCGGAAATGTATCCCTGTTATCGTGTTCTGAGAAACGAATAAGCAACATGCTTCTGCCACTACCTTTCATCCTCACACTGATGACGTTTCCAAGTATTCCATCGTCATCCAATGAGACTCATCACGTATTGCTTTTTCCACTTCATTTGTATTCGTCCTTGAAATGGAGTATTCGAAAACAAAACAGAACTCGCCGGAGGCAGCTTCTGCCATTTTCTCGTGCGGATTTTATGCGACATGAAGTACTCACGAAAAGCAATGAAGACGATCATATTACCTTGAAAACAAAGAAGAGTAGCGGAGTCGGCACGTCGCTTTCCAATCGTCATGTATCCTTCTCCAGCCAAAGTGGCATTTTGTCTGCAGTCATCAATTCGCTGCTGGCACCAGGCAATGAATTTAGTTTGGTTAGGAAAAAAAACGCCACCCAAAAGGATTTTTAAAGAAATTTTCTGAATTCATACTTTTTGAATTGTTTCAGCTATTGTCGGACCGCCTACGAATGTTCGTGTAGAAGCTACATCGAACAGCTCAGCTGTGGTGCAGTGGGACTTTGAAAGTGGGCAGGTAATGTGCTTTTTCTTAAAGAAAAGGCATTGGTACTTTTGCTATTCATCCATAAAAATTAATATACCATTACTGTCCGCGCTGAATATATTTGCTCAGGGCTGCAGGGAACTACACTCCGGTTCGATCTCTGTTGAAGGTTTTCAATAAGGGTTACTACAGTATTGTTATTACCTAGGTTGATGGATTTGTGGTGAAGTATATGCATGAACCAGGAGGACGGTCGGATTCTGAAAAATGGACAGCCAGAACAGTGATGAGTCCGAATTCACGACATCTCGAAGTGCCTCACCTCACTGCGCACAAGCCCTATGCGTTCTGTGTCCTTGCCATCAAAAATAATGTGAGTTTAACGCTGTAGGTTTCAATCATGAATTTACTTGTGTGCATAAGGTGAATGTTTGAAAAAGAAGAGAGAGGCGTTCAGCAACAGCGTTAACTCTGTGGAAGCTGCATGTCGGAAGTGCACCACTTCTTAGTAGAATTTATTTCATTGGAAGGATTTAAATCAGTGTCGGCTATAAATCCCTATTGGGATTGCTGAATGCTACCGATTTGTGTCAGTATATCTAATCTGTAATGAAATTTTCGCTTATTTCTTCTACGGATTCATTTCTGGATAATTTATTTGTCTATTTCTGTACTGCTATGACACAATGGTATAAAGACCTCTTTGACTACCAATCATTGATTTAGTCAAATTAATAGTAATAACAAATATGATTTCGCAGAGAAAACCTGTAGACATATTTTCTATCTGAGAGCTTAAAGTTCAGTTAAAGTTCATGTTTTTCGGAAGAATCATTTGTATCTTGAAATTTGGTATCTTATTGTCCCCTAACTATTGCTTGAGTCTCTAGTACCACTATATACACATATACATGGATACATATGTATACATACATATAAATAATATTATAGATGGCATGATTAGTACCATGGTTGGTGCATGAGCGCATGTAGCGCACTGGTGATAGGCGCCCTACGATGCACATGGGATCGATCCCACACAGGCTCACCATGCCTACCATCACTCCGGGGTCGGCAAATTGGTACCAGGAGTGTCTGGGAGGATAGCAGCACTGGCTCGATAGATCGGTAGGCCAACGTGAGTCATTGTGAAGGCCGAAAATGCATTCAGTCACCTCCAGCGATGCTTGATAAAGTCGAATGCATGGCGCATTCCTCAGGAATTGATCAACGCAGAGAGTTTACACTTTTCTATGATTGGTCCAGATTTGAAGATTATCTGCTCCTATACTAGTTGTTCTTATGACTATTTTGGAGTAGCTGTTATAATGCTAGTTGTTGGAAATCATTCTTTTTTCTTATCAGTTTTCCACCTTCTCCATAGGAAAACAACATTAATGAAATCATCGCCAATATATCAAATCATAGAATGAAATAAGTTGGACGGAACTGAGTTCCGTTCACTAATTTCGAAACCAAGGCTACTTCAACATGACTTTTTGTTTAGCGACAAGGTGCGTGTTCTGATCCTCCAACTTTGCTGGAAAAACTTACCCCTACGTACATGGTTCAAAATCTCGTAGTCGAATGGAAAACAAGTAATTCGGTCAAGTTGAGGTGAATTTTTGACAAGTTTGTGTAGCGTCTTCCTTCTTTTTCACTATTAGTGATGATAATGGCAGTAATATTATTGTTATCACTTTTGCTTATGAAGATCTTTTTCTAGATGGGAATATAATGGTCCTGCTCATATCGGCTTCTATTTGAATCACACCGGAAAGAAAGAGTATTTTGATCACACATTGGCGATGAAGAGTATGACAACTCCAGGTTTCAAGCGTGAATTGGACGAGGGCAGTAGAGAATATCTGTATGTGTTTCGAAGACTCTTCGTTTCTAACAAAAATCATTGGAATGAAACGAATGACCCGCATGGTGTATTGGTGAATGCGTTAGCATTCGGAAGGGGTAATAACGCGTTCGATCCCCATCGCAGCCAGTTGCGGTCCGGAGTTTTGCGAATATCTCAGCATCATTTTGGTGGCATCACAACAATCATTATTTACACTTTCATTCGTCTTTATGCGCTTATATCCTCTTCAGATGGACTAATCTGCGCCCATACATGCAGTACACGTTCCACGTAGGAGTGCGTACACTTCCTCCAGGTGGTCGGCAATATTGGCCAAAAGAAGTACGTTTCCTTTTCGGCAAAACTTTATCCGTCACTCACTTGTTAATCCGAGACCAAAGTTTTTGAAATGTAAGTCCGATATCAGAACGTAATTCTAGAGAATGGAACAGTGGCACTTGAAAATTCCTGAACAAGTGATCTTTATTCATAAGTGGTAGCTTATCTTTTTTCTTATTTTTAATAGTTCATCCACTGTGATCTGATCCATCGTCGCATTGTAAAAGGTATAACTTGTATATAACTGCAATGTAAGATTAATGTATGTTTCCTGGCCAAAGGTATAACAGTTGTGAACTGATCTTGTTGAGCTGATGGGAGGTTGACATAGTTGTCGTCATTGTTGTTGTTGTCGGTGATGGCTGACGTTTCGGCGATTTCGCCTTCCTCAGAGCCGTGTTGTTACTAGTGGGACTTTATTAACAATTGTCACAATTTATTATTTTTTTGTTTGTTATTTATTATTATTAAAAAGAAGGAACGAGAGTCCCAGTCGTAACAACGCGGCTCTGTGGAAGGAGAAATCGCCGAAATGTCAGCCATCGACCGACAACACCAAAAACTACACTAACTTCGCATCAGCTCAACAAGATCAGTTCATAAGAACATATAGATTAACATATCGATTATTTATCCCGAGATTTGTAGAAAGTCGGTGTTTCGAGTTATCAAAAGCGTAATAGTTTAGTCTGCTAAATTTTCGCAACCCTCCTGTGCTGACAATGAATCCAGATATTTGCCAACGGAATACAAATTTTCTTGCTTAACTTTGAAGAAGTGGTGGTTTCAAATCCTAAGATTTTCAAGTACTTCATCGATTTATTGAAAAATTGCTGGTACTTGTCGGGAAACCGTCGTAGTCGCAAATGTAGTAGTTATCGCCTTAACAACATAACGTCGAAAATGATTTTGTGAATTCTAAATTGCTGTTTATTTATGGTTTTTGAAGGTGGTGATTGTGACTGACCCAACAGGCCCACCCTTTGTTTTTCCTCCGGAGATTGATGACCTTGTTACTAATGGAATAGGTGGGAAACAAGGCCAAATTGTTATTCGACTGAGACCAGCATCTGAGGAATATGGTCCGATATCACATTACTGGTTAATTGTAGTTCCTGGAAATTATTCAAAGGTGAGTGTTCGTGCCTTTCATAGTTGTTAGTCTTCCCTAAACTACGTGTTTTTCAAAGGATGACATGGTGAACATGGGCCCTGTCGAACTCGAGGCGGCTACAATTGCTCGACGAAAAACTCTAGAGAAACAAATCAGTGTATCACCAACTATACGGGTATGGCCTATAACGTGTAACATTTGGAACAAAGACGTTATGTTCACCTTTTTTCTCTTAACATTGTATTAATGAGATTTTCTGTCCAGGTGAAAAAAGCGGCCAGTGCACTGGAAAGAGGGTCGGTGGTAACTGAGCATAGTCACCGTATTCGAAAGCGTTACAATGATTTACCGACAACAGCCTATATAACAGCAAGAATTGAGGCTGAGGAGATGAGGAAAATGTACACCGGGGACCGATCTTTTATTGTGGGCGATGACAAGGTTGGTAGCGTTAGAGTATTATTTTCCTCTAGGGTGTTGTTCTGTGTTCAAAGGCCTTTGCGTTAGTTTCTAATATATCTCAGTGATATATTTAAGAGATCTCTGACCCGCTAAAGAAAGTGGTTAGTCTACTTTTTGTTCGAGCATTACAAAGGCAGCCGTGTTACATTTATCACCATATTAATAGCAACTTTGTTCCAGTTTTTTTTTATTCCAGAAGATCAACATAAGAAAGTCAAGCACATTAGTAGTTCCTTTTCATTTTAAAAAGCAAGATTTCTGAAGAATGCGCATAGTCCGCGCAGGGTCTTCGTCAGCCATTTTTCTTCTCATTCCTTCTGGTTTTTTTCAACATTTAGGGACCGACGTGAGTTGATTTCCACTCACCCTGTGCCAAGATAGCGTTCGCTTTAAAATTCCTACAAACGTATCTCAACTCAGAATGAGCTTTACGAATTGAAGTAGGAAATTAGAATATGCAAATCTTTGGCTACATGGTAAAGAACTCTTCTTCTTTTAACCCATGAAGAAGGTCTAGTTTTCTGAAGCTCAGTAAACTTATTTTTTGCACTTTTATTCGTCGACGCTCGTATTTCGGAAATGAAAGCGAATGAACAAGCGGTGTTTAATCAATTGGAACGTGATGGTGTCCCCAAATGTTTTATCGATGTTTTATGGTTTCTGCGACTTCGTTTGCAGTTCTAAAAATTTTTATTTCCTTTTTATTTCTTTTGGAAATTTCGATTCTAAACAGCTCTAAGATTAAGATAGTTTTAAAAAGTTGTGCTTACTCTTAAATAGTATGATCAAAGCCTCTTCTATAAACTTCCATAAATCGATTCGATAACTAGAATGCAACTCAAGTGCTCTAGTTATTGAATAGTTATCAATATCCTTCAAAAGAAAACCCAGCTTCGAGCTCTGCATGTTAGCCATAACCTTTCCTGGTGGAGTCATGTTCCATGGATTCTCTGCGCGTAACTTGTCCTTTCACCTGGGTTGTGATATTCGCTCTTAGTTCTGGCGTCTCCAAATATCCTTCATGATATGAAGCTAAAAGGAAAATAATAACACTTAGTTTTTTGATTTAAATACCCTTATTTTTTCTGAACAGAACCCGCAAAAAAAACGCAAAAGATTGCTACTTCAGCAGTTCTGTTGGACCAGCTGAAAGCTTCTTTAATGTTTTTGATTAGAGAGCGTGGTTTTATGTGGTTGCTTTGTAGTACCGGTTAGGAACTACTCAGGGGAAACCTACTGTTGTTCATATTAGTTTCTAAAAAAGCATATATATGCCACCAGATTGGCATGCTATGTTTTGTCGCCCAGGGTTTGCTTGTTGGTGGTCGATTCCAGTGGGCAGCTTTTGGCGAAGGGAACTTAATCGATTGTTTGTTGCGCTCTTCGGCCCCGCCTCTTCGTCGCTGTATCAATTCTACTTTTTCATCTAAATACGTGGTGCTAATGAAGCTGCATGTGGCCCACCACTGTAAGATTGAATTGCTCACGTCGATGAGCTATCTGTCTCTACATTGATCTACATGGTCTTGCTCGAAAATTGCAGAGAGCAATACGAAAGGGTTCCAGAACTGCTTCGAAGATATATAGCAATCACCAGTATTTCAGATCTATAATGGTTTCAACAACTTCCCACTACAGCGAAGCACAAAATATCGGCTAATGGTGCGTTCGTTCGCTAAAATTGACGGAGGACGTAAGAATGAGGTATAATAAGTTCATCTATCTTTTTACTACACTGTTTAATCCACGATTATGAAGTGAAGAAAGTGATGAGCTTCTTACTGTGTAGTCAACTTTAAAAATTTAGTATGTTCCAATAATTTTAATATTTTCCGTTCGATAAGCGAGCTCCGATGGGCGAGAAGTTGACTCGTTTATACTCGGATTCGGCTCTAACGGAGCCGTTTACCACAAGAGCCTCCCAAAGAACCAGTGCGAAAGCTGGAGGTGTTTGGTTGATCGGTCCTCTAATTGCGCTGCTTATTATTGCTATCCTTATCGGAATGTTGGTTTGCTGGTGAATATTCCTTCATTTTCAATTCATATAATATGCTCCTTTTCACTTAAATGTCATAGGTGGCTTCGATGTAATAAAAAATCGGCCGGTAGAGCACATCGTCATGATTCCATTACAAAGGTAGCCTTGACTGGCAACATTATGAATGGTATTCCTAGTGAAACTAGTAAACTGCTTTCCACAGACACTTTTGGCCGAACTGTAATGAATCCTTATGAACAGGTGGGCTATCTATTTCACTATTTCTCAAGTACTTGGGACGCTTAATCTAGAAAAGCGTTTTCCATCTGTAGGAATACGAGTACGTAAGTTTATAGATGAACGGTCATGGTAACACACATATGGAGTCGTCGGTAGACCTTTATCCTTTGCCGCGAACTCAGTCTCGAACTGATGTCGGAAATTATGCTCCGGTTCCTATTCAGTTTTCTTGCCTTCCATCGAGCGGTGGGATACTAGGTAATGACATTTCCTAAACAGCTGATTCGAAGTTCGTTATTCAAAATGGTACTTCAATTTCCATTTTTTAGGCAGCCATCTCACCACTCATCCAGCTATTCCGATTTCCGAGTTAGCGCACCATATTGAACAACTTCGCCTCAACAATAATGCAGGTTTCCAACAGGTAACGAAGTATTCCTTCTCAGCGTAATTGAGATGTCTAGGACAGATGTCTGTAACAGACGTGGCACCTCTTCGTTAAATTGAATTTCGTCTTTAGGAGTTTGAATCAATAGAAACAGGTCAGCAGTTTACCTGGGAAAATAGCAGTGCCGAAATGAACAAGCACAAGAATCGATATGCGAATGTTGTTGCTTACGATCACTCCCGAGTGGTACTCTCTACGATAAATGACATTCCTGGAAGTGACTACATCAATGCCAACTACATCGATGGATATGATAAGGTGGGCTAGTTTTCTCTTTTGAAGAAGAATAACTTTACCCGGTCAATAACTGCCAATGCTTTGATGTTTCGTCGTTCATAACTTACTTGTGTTTAGCCGAAGGCCTATATTGCCACCCAAGGACCGCTGCCGGAGACCTTTGATGATTTCTGGCGTATGGTTTGGGAAGAAGGGACGTCGACAATTGTTATGTTAACGAATTTAGAAGAACGTTCAAGAATAAAATGTGATCAATATTGGCCGACCAGGGGTAGTTCGACATATGGCGAAGTCCAGGTGTGCAATCATCGGGTTCATCTGTTATGAAGAGGCTAAATTGGTAAAACGTGAAACCGTGATTATGTGGTTACTAAGAGGTCTTAAACCATGACGGGAAATGTTTCGTTTCTCAAACAGTTTTTATCATTTATCATCCACTCTTTTACGGTCTTTGTAGATATGTGTGTATCTTAGACTTTTCTTAGTTAAATATCAGCGCTCGATTTCTACCTCTTTAGGTTACACTCCTGGAGACTACTGTTCTCGCACACTACACTATGAGAGCATTTCGAATACAAGTCGTTGGAGAAATGGAAATGCGAGAAATTCGGCATCTTCAGGTTAACTTCTTACACGGTTTTGTAGTGCACCTAATTAATCCCTGTAGACATCAGACATTCGGTTAAAAGCTACTACATATTGAGGTATACATCCAGACTTAAGAATCTGGTTTTTGTTTATATATAGTCCATTAAATCTTTTTTTCAACTAACTTTTGTTGTAGTACACAGCTTGGCCTGACCATGGTGTGCCGGATCATCCAACTCCTTTCCTCATCTTTCTGAAACGAGTAAAAACGCTCAACCCTCCGGACGCTGGACCAATTATTTCCCATTGCAGGTAGGTGTAGTTCCAAAGGTATTTATTGGTCTGTCGTACATCAGTCACACTCTTTCAAACAATTTTTTTCAGCGCTGGCATAGGTAGAACAGGAGCGTTTATTGTGGTGGATTGTATGCTTGAGAGACTTCGATATGAAAACACCGTAGATATATTTGGTTGTGTGACTTCTCTAAGGAGCCAGCGTTCATATATGGTACAGGTTAGTTACGCAAGTTTCTTAGACTTACAAGAGAAATGCTGCTTAGTTTCTTTTGTACTATTCAAGGGACGTTTCTGAAAGGAAAAAAGCCACGGCGCAAAGAGAAACTGGAGTGAAGGATATTACAGAATTCGAGCACTTTCTAAAATTTTAGACAGAAGATCAGTATGTGTTTATCCACGATGCCGTCCTTGACGCAGTGAATAGCGGTTCAACCGAGGTGCCTATAATGAAGCTTAGACAGCATGTCATGGCTCTACAGCAAGTGGCGCCAATGGAAGCTGCAGCTGGAATGGAATTGGAATTCAGAGTACGTTTTCAGTTTTTCTTTTTTTCATCTTTCTGTTGTTTGTGTTGAAAGTTAGTCACCGGCTTTTTTCGTCAATTCGCGGCCTCGAGTTTCACAGGCATCTGTAATACTTTGCTTTTTTCTGTCCTTATTTTCTTCCTTCTTTCTCTTCCAAATAGGATTGTATAATAGTTGAGGTTTTATAGTAAAAGGAATTAAAATTGGTGTAAAGTGAAACCGTTGGGAAGGACTTTTTCAACGGACCAATAACGAATTTTTAACAGTGTAAAGCCTTAAAAGTTTTCGTTGTTGACCCTTGCTTATTTTTAAGCATCTCTCTGCATTGAAATGGGGAAATTCGCGGTGTTCAATCGCAAATCTGACGGTTAATCGCCACAAGAATCGTCATTTAGCTGTCGTTCCTTACGATAGTAACAGAGTCGTTATGCAACTCATTCCTGGTGTGGAAGGAAGTGATTACATGAACGCCAGCTGGGTAGATGGTTATCGGTAAGTATTATATTGACCATTTGATAGTTCTTTTTCACACATTCTATTTAAGTGATATATTCATATTCCTCTTATAGACAACGCTGCGCTTACATCGCAACACAGGGACCAACCGATCAAACTGTCGGTGATTTCTGGCGAATGATCTGGGAGCACGACTGCGCTATTGTAGTTATGTTGACGAAAACATGGGAATTAGGGCGGGTCAGTTGAACTCTTTGTAGAACTTATGGAAGTCGTAGCATTTGAAATACTTTTCGTGTTTTTAAGTTATACTACAGCTTTGGTTATAATTGTCACATTTGGAGGAAAAATGCTGTGACTACTGGCCCCAGGAGACTGGTGCTCAAGTGGGACAGTTGGTCGTTGAGCCCATCGCCGAATATAATATGAGAGAGTATATCCTAAGAGAGTTTCGACTCAATGATGTTCAAGTACTTTTTTAACCCTCTTTATTGGTTTTGTTTATTCGTTGGCATAACCGATGCAATGACTAGGTATTCCAGTCTGGTCTCTCTCGTACCGTTCGTCATTTTCAATACTCAGAATGGCCAGAACAAGGTGCGCCGAAATCTGCAGAGACGTTCTTGGATTTTATTCAACAGGTTCGTTATGACGCGTATTTTTATCACCGTTGCATTTTAACCCTTGTTGTGCATGCTATTACAATTCGATACAGAACTGCCGGTTTGAAATACTCTATAAGTCTTTAATTATATTGAGTGATAACGAACCCGTTGAATAAAATCTAAGAACGGATATGGCAAGATAATTAAAGACTTATAGAGTATTATTACAAACCGGCAGTTCTGTTTTTAATTGTAATAGCTTGCACAACAAGAGTTAAAATGCAACGGTATTGGTAGTATTCGTTCCTTAATACTTCATTCGAGTTTTATTTAAGAAAGGTAACGGATATTATTGCTCGGTTCCCAGGAGATCGGAAATATTCTAGGTGCATCGAACGAAGTCTCAATTTGGTGTCGATGGCCCCATCGTGGTTCACTGCTCTTCGGGTGCTGGTCGAACAGGAGTATTTATCGCGTTAGCAATAATCATCGATAGGATGCGATTAGAACATGTTGTAGACGTCTTTACAACGGTGCGTTTTCCACTGTTTAGGCCGTCTTCAGTCCTCTTAATCGTACCTGATACAATTCATTTTCGCGCACTGTACACCTGTTATTCCATTTTTAGGTGAAATTGTTGCGGACAGAACGTCAAAATATGGTACAGGACAAAGATCAGTACTATTTTCTGTATATGGCTGCTTTGGAATTCCTTTCATCCTACGAACAGTATCCGTCCTCCTAGACGGCTCACTTCTCTTCCCCGTTGAACATTTGACCCCGTGATTTTTCTCACCAAGTATTGGTGCATCTCTAGTGTAATGATGTTGCGGGTATTCTGTTGTATCGTTGTCGTCTGATGACCACTATACTGTCTTTTCTTCGACTACGGGTACTTCCAATCAATTTCTGATTGTGTCTTCATGTTTCTGAAGTTTATCTCAATTTGTTTATTTCTCCTGTTCTATGTATATGTGTATTGATTCCTCGCTTTTCTTCAAAAAGAATCTGGTCTTTATCGACACGTGCGAGCTGGATTTGTTCACTATGTTGATATGTTTATTTGCTCATTTTTGCTTTCTCACCCGTAGTAGACCTCAAATTCCAAGTCTCCGTGGCGTTGGAATCGCCTTAGAATCTTTGCCATGTGCTGGGAAATCCTTCGGAGTTTCTCAGTACTTTGGAGGCGGGATATGGTAGAACTTGTCATAGCATCTAATAAATTAATTATTTTTCGTGCATGTTATCATTTTTCTGGCAGTATTTCTACATTTCCATCTGGAAACCCATCTTAGAATGTACCAGTACCATTCGTAGATTGACACTGACAACAACCTAAAGCTGGCAAGAAGGAGATAACTTTTAAAAAAATCTTAGCACAGCTTTCAAAACTCAATGAGGAGAAATTTATCCGAACAGCAAATTGCCAGACAGATGGAACTGTGCTGTACTGTGCACGATTCCTCATAGTTCTTCACGGGTTATTCAAATATCCAAGCTAGTGCATAAAATATCCTGAGACTCGCAAGCTTGCTTCAATGTTTTATAACTACCGAGAACGCAGTTCCAGTGTACATTGTAATCCACGTCTGCCAAGCTAAAGATCGAAATGTTCGATATCCTATGTTTGAGCTATGAGGCTATTAACAAGGATCTGTCGACGTCAATATCGCTTTAGGTTGTTCAGCTTAGGTAAGGTTGTTATAGGGTTTTTATTTGGTTAGTGTTGCGGTACCACCGCCCTCTTCAGATCGTGCACGGCCGTTCATCTTCGCAATGGGCTCTTCGTTGTCGTATGGGGTGATTATAGTTGTTTTAGCTCAACAATCTGAGAAAATATTGACTATTCTCGCCGAGCTTTCACGAGAGTCGGCTTTAGGACAAATCGTTCACTTTTCGTTTAGTTCATTCGGTTTTCATTTGCTGAGTTTCTGATTTTTCATTTCAGAAACTCGCTTCGAAACTGGTTTTGACTATGCTTATTTATCCTACAACTTCTCGAATCGTGAATCCAACTCAGTGCATTCAAACGGTGGCCAGCAGGAATACTGTGTAGCCACGATCCACTCGTCTTTTACAAAAAATGCTCGAATTTTCTCCTTTTCTTAGTATATGCTTCAGTGACATAAAATCGATACAACTTAGCATAGGAAGGATAATGTCAAAATAAAAATCTTGTATGACATGTGGTCTTAAGATGGAGTGTAGAATGAATACCAGGGCGTAGGAAATAAAATTTGATAAAAAAAAAAGATTAAGCTGTTGGCGTTGACTAATCCCTAAGGGATGCACCATACACTCGACTTCATTAAACATCGCTTAGAGGTGACTGAATGCATATATGGCCTTTACAATGACTCACAGTGGCCCACCGATGTATCCAGCCAGTGCTGCTATCCTACCAGACAAGTCTGGTACCAATTTGCCGACTCCGGAGGGATAGAAGGCTTGGTGAGCCACGGGTGCTGGGATCGATCCCATGTTTATTGCAGAGTACCTTTAATCACTGCGTTACACGCGCCAGATCTCATAGGATATAGAATTTTAAAGAAAAGAAACGTTAAGCACTATGATTATGGGTGATTGCTGTTAGAAAAAGATTGATAGAACTAGCTGAGAGACAGGCGAAACGAAGGAACTGAATGGTGTGGTGCTGAACGCGTTACTCCCCGGAAAGGACAATAGCGAATTCGTTCCCCACCGCAGACAGCTACGGCCCGGAGTTTTGCAAATATCTCAGCGTTATAGTAGTTATATTTCGGAAATATCCTGCCGTTAAAAACAATAGGCAGTAAATAAGAAGGTTAAGAAACCTTAAGGTTAGAAAAAATCAGACCTGTTACTTTTTGAGAGACCATATATAACAAAGAGGTCACTTATAGCGCAGGAATATAGCATAGGGCGATAACTGCTAGGTTCAGATTTCCGAATTGAATATTAGACATGTATTCTGTTTAGATCTTATATCTTAGCAGTGAAAAGCTAAGTTCTAATAATATAAGCCAATATTAATAGGTGAATACACCAACATCATTCGTATTTCTAGTAATTAGATTTTAGATTTTTCCTATTTTTCAAATTATTATTCCGTTTTTGCTATAGATTACTTTATTCTCCCTGATTAGGATATGTGGCATGACAGATAGAGATAGAATAGAGCACTTGGATACTACTAATTCTTTACTAACTGTTTTCAAAAGTAGGCGAACACAACTTTCTCAGTTAGCTAGCAAGGCGAAGTAAGTTCACTTGTTCACTTGCTGACTTGTTCTACTTGTTCACTTGTTCTACTTGCTGAACGAAAAGCATTCTCCATGACTCATCGCCGACGTGTTCGTTTGGTCCCGTTCCAGTGACGTTCTATACAGACCATGATTTTATCGCCTTGCGCCGCTTCTCTCACCGCTTGACGTTGTAGGCAGGAGTGCAGAGTGTGAGAAGTTATAAGGTTGGATGTTTGCTGGCGGGACTATTCGTGGCTTCCTGAGTTCCCAAGGTAAATCTACTCGGAGCATCGCTTAGGTAGTCACCAAGGATAGTCACCGGCACTTGTGAAACACAGGAAGGTTTTGCACTTTACGACCAGTTTGATACCAGAGCGGCGATGACACATAGCGCTGGTTTACTCTTAGCTGGGCTCTTGGATAGAAATATCGAACTCCTTTTCAGCTTATAAAACCCTTCTGCCTGAAAAACGTGCGCTTTACATCACAGTTCGACATCCACAGCATCCCTAGGCCCGCCGGTTGCTTAAATTTCACGCTTTCTTTGAATTCCAGTCCTTAGGTGGGCGGATGGCGCATTGGTAGTAACGTCCGTCACCACGAGCATGGTGCCAGTTCGATTCTGCTCCGGGCCAACCAGGCCCCTCATCCCCTCGGTGTCAGGAAATTGGTACCGGACTCGTTTGGGAAAGAATTACCCTCTGCAATGCAATTGGGAACGCTCAGCCCGGCTATCTCAGGACATCAGGGAGAACAGCTCGACCGGCAACATTCAAGATGAAATGGTAATCCTTAAGTAGCAATCGAAGCCACACGTGGAGGTGGAAGATCTTCATGGACAATGGATACGAGGAAAGGAATCGAATGTGAGCAGTGATGGGATCCGCACAGTAGACGTGAAGATGGATCAAATACAATAAAATAAATCTTGATGCCTTTAAAAGTTAATTAATAAAGAGGCAGTTTTAGAAACAAGCCAATAATAAGGATGAAATTTACGGGACTAAAGAGAATCCATCTTCCCTAGTAAGATTGCAAAAGCTGAGCATTTTGCAACGTTCAATGTTATTTAGTGGTACCTGTTTTGAGTTTCTCAATGTTTAATAGTAATAGTAACAAGCAACTACAATTGCACGAAATGTTATGTAGTAGGAATATCTTATTTGTGACGTGGTCGTGATTCTTATAGATTGCAACCTGTGATTACTTAACAGTGAAAGCGTTTGATATATATTGAACGAGCAAACATTTACCATTCATTCCACTTATCACCTTATCCTTTATCAAGACCTAACTGCCATCTAATATTTACGCGGTAAAATACTAGTACAAAATATTTGCAAGTGGGTCTTTATTCCTAGATTGCTCTTCGGTGTGTGGTTGTGGTGATGAGCGATGAGGAAAATCTGAAGAAAAGAAATGATGTCAAAGCAACGGCACTCGAACAGACAGCCCAGAAGCGCGCAGCAGTAGATGAAGTTAAAGTACGTGATGTTGCTTAGCCACTTCGTACTACTGTTAATCTTTTCAGCAAAGAAGCATCACGTCAACAAAGAAAATCAATGAGAGTAGAAGAGGGAAGAAAGGTTGTTTAGTTTTGAATTCCACGAGTTAGTTGAGGGTACGTGACCATTTCAGGAGCAATGAGTTTCGACGAGGAAGAACTAGTAAGTTAGCAAGACTAGTGCAAGATTAGTGGACTTCATTGAAAGTACAACTAATACGTGACGAAGTAAACGATGAATTTACAGAGACGACTTTTGCTAGCTCTTCGTCAGACAGCGTTTTTTAAGGCAGCTTTAAAAAACAACAGAACAGCGGCGCTCACGGCTAACCTTTCGTTGGAGAGTACAGAAGGCATCAATACCAAGCTTGCGGTCCCAGCTGTGAAGAAAATCTCGGACGGTGGGCTCCCACACAATCCGTGGTATGTCTCAAAGAAATGCTGCAATTTTGTTCCAGAGGTTTCAGAGAGCGCTGAAGACGATGTTAAAAACTCGGTCTGTTTGTCTTCATTTCTTTTTTTTACAATTCGAAGTAAAAACAAGTATATATCGAAAAATGTAAACAGGATTGGTCAAATGGAGGCGAAGCTGAACCATCAACAAGCAGTAAACCTAATGTGGCAAAGGTTTATATGAAAGGCAAAGGTAAAACGACATCTAAAAGATTGTCTCTGGTGTGTCGGTACGCATCGTACTTCCTTCACATCTCAGATCCTGCTAAAATCTTCGATGCGTTTGAAAAGCCGGAAATTGTTGATCCGAAAGAAGAATTGGGCTTGGTAACATCACCTATTTGTTAATTTTTGCTTCAGCTAGAGAATAGCAGGAAATTATCCGAGTTATTCAAAAAACTGAATTGTTGATTTAGTTTAACGTTTTGTTTTCTGCCTTCTATAATTTTCATGGCAGGTTACTAGTCGAAATACAACCACAACGTTGATTTAGTCTTTCTCTTAGCTAGTTTTCTACTCAACAGCGTCACCAGCAATCACCTCAACAGGATTGGACTGGGGAATATAAAACGGCATTGAACCTAGATAAGCTGAGGCTGTAGTCGAAATTACAACGTTAACCTTTCATTTACTACCTGCTGTAACTTTTCACGGAAAGGCATTATGTGAAATGTAACCACAGTGCTGCTGAGATATTCACAAAATTTGGACCCCAAGCCAGACGAAACCACGATTACCCTTGTTACCGTTGTGCTTGCATTTCCCATAATACCCTGCCGTGAAAAATTACGGCAGGCACTAAAAAAAAGTTAACATTCTGATTTCAACTACAGTCTCGGCGTGACTGGGGTTCAATGCTTATTTGTGCTTCCTCAACCAATCCTACTGACAGATGATTGTTGATGGTGCTATTAGATAGGAAACTAGTTGACAGAAAGGTAAAGCAGGGGCCTCCGTGGTGCTGTGTGTAATTTGCGAGCCCACGGAAAGGGTAGTCGTGGTTCGATCTGACCTATGGTCCACATATTGTGAATATCTCGGAACCACTGTAGTTGCACTTCACATAATACTCTGCCATGAAAAATTACACTAGGCAGTAAATAAACGGTTAACATCGTTGATTCAGTATTTTTAGAATTCTTTACCCATTCGCGACAATATCACCGATCGGGTCACACATTACAGAAATTCATTTAATCTTTTCGCTTCGAACCAACCGACTCCGAAATATAATGAGATGAATGAAAATGGTTTTCAAATCGACTTACATTAAACCTTGACAAAAAAAAATCAGCCCCTTCTATTATTAAGCAAACACGGGGTCGGTAAATAGATTTATTGGGCTAACGTTTCGACGTCTTCGTCTTCTTCAGAGCCGGATTGATCCGAGTGGATGGTCCACAGATGGTTGTTGCGATCTGGATGTTCGTTGTCGCACAGAGTCGAATCCAGTGAATCGGCGCATCGATCCGAATGAAGCGTCTCATTCGACGGCGCCCTTCCATACAGTACAGATGTTGGTCAATTGCCATCCAGTGTAGTCTATTTATTGCAAGCAATGCGTCCTGTAACATTCAGTAGTTTATTCGCTAGCAATATCTTATAAATAGACCCTCATAAAAGGGCACCTTTGAGTGAGATTCTCCATTCAAGTGGCGGTTCCTCCCCTGGATTCGATTCGTTGCAATGTGACAGTGAACATCCACGCGGCCACAACGATCCGCTTAGGAACAATCGAATCATATCAGTCCAGCTCTGAAGAAGACGAAGACGTTGAAATGTCAACCGAATAAAAGTTTGTACCAACCTCGTGTCAGCTCAACCATGTAGAAAACTGTTGGGTATTGTTACCGAGGTTTAATGGAAGTCATTTTTTAAGATAAATGAAAATAAATGGAATCTGCATATCATCACTAACAGGTTAAGAACTATTTATTCCATCAAGTTACCCATTTTGGTTTTTGGAATCCATTGCCCTTTTTTCTTCGCATTCCTCATTTTTTCTGCTCTCGAAAAAACGACTCGGCGGAGGTTATAATTCAATCAGCAGGGCAAGACAGAACCCCTGAGCGCTTTGGGAATGAGCTATGCAGTTGTCAGTGAACTTGACGGCGATCATGGAAGCTTTAGCGTTAGGAAAATAGATGTGATTTCTGTTGAAAGCTGGATTGCTGCAGGACTGTCTGAAAGATCTTCTAACCTTAGTATATTTCATTTCTTTTCGGAATTTCACTAGTTAACTGAACTATCGTTCAAAAACATCGATAAAAGTAGGAAAGCAGACGCTATAAAATCCAATCAGCGAACTCAGAAAACCCAATGTGAATGACTTCCACTTGTTATAGATATTAGAACAAGTGTCAAAAGAGTAGCTCACGGTATATTTGTATTTTAGGCTACAAACTGACCAGCAGAGACCTATATTCGGTAATCGGAGACTAATTTGTGTGGGATTTAGTTTTGATTAAGAGGCGAGAGAAAGTCGACAATATCAAATAAGTAGCTTCTAGTCACATGTGGTCGTCGACTTAAGTTTAGCGACCTTTGAGTTAAAGATTGTGCTCGACTATAGGCTAAACACAAAGGTGCGTCATTATTCGGTTAAGTGACGACGACGCTGTAATAACCGGTGGTCGATTTACGTTCAAGGAGTTGAACTGCTGATATGATGAACCCAAGGGATAAGAATTCAATCACTGCTACTCACACCTGATCACATTGATTAAAAATAGTGAATCAGCGAAACCCACTATGCTGAAACAACGAAACTACTAAGAAAGCTTAGGTGATGGCCGCGACTTGGTATGAACCGTGAATTAGAGTTCGAATGAGGTCCTCTTCAACGAAGTTACGATAGCCGATGCCTGCTTTAAACTTAATTGAAGACCCGTCTGCTATTAATTTATCAAAATTTTAAGGGAAAAATCGGATTACTGCTACATTGTTGCACAACCCTGGGATCTAAAATGAACTTAAAACTGCAGTGGGAACAAGACCCGAAAGGGTTCCCACGCTGAAGGTGGTTACCCCCATTCTATTCCATGGCTCTTATGTCTCGGAAAACACCGCAATATCTAACATCTATGGCGGATTTAACATTTTTCAGCGTATGATTCACTTTAATTCGTCGAGTAGTTCGAGTAGTCGAGTCCTAAAATCAGCCTTTCTTATACTCCTTAACTATCGCTGCAAAATTTAGGCAGTTGCGAAAATTAGAACGCGGATGAGTAAGGAAGCTCGAGGCGTCACTTCACTGACAAGTATCAGACCCGTATTAAGGCCTGTGAGGATGTCTGAGTCATTGAAAATAAAAAAGTTCCCAGTAATGCCGAGACTACCCTTCGCCAAACTGAGGCGTGAAATATCATTGAGGAAAAGCCGAGAATCATATGCAAAAGGTGAGTCGAAGAAAAGCGAACGATCGCTGAAGTTAGATCGGATGTTATCAAGTAGAAGTTCAAGTTTGAAACTGGAAACACCTCCATCGGAGGTTGAAGCAAAGCAGAGAAAGGCAGTTCCACCGACATTGCCAATGTCCCAATTAGTACGGAGTGAGGTTGCTGCAGTAGCTGCAGGTTCTTCAAAAGCAGAAGCCATGAAAGAAACCGAACAGTCGCAGCGAAAGGAAGGTTTGCAAAAATTCACTACCACTGAGGTGGTGGAGTGCCCTTCCCAAACACTTAGTGGGAAGGAGCTAAAAATCGTGGAAGCCTCCAGTTCGCAAACGATAAGTGAGTATTCGCGTGAACTACCACTGATTTGATTTGAAATTGATGCAGTAGTTTTTCTAGCTTCAAAGAAAAGTCGATCATTTTCTACCATTATGGATGAACCACCCCGAACTCACTACAAATTTGTTAACATTAAAGTTAATCTGTCACAAGTATGTTATTTTAGTTTTTGAATTATAAAAAAACTCCACGGTTTACCTCCTCATTGTGGCTGGGAGATGTCCCTGGGCGTCGAGCTGCGATGTACAGGGGGTAGTCCTCTCCCGGCAGGGTCTCTCAAGCTGAAAAGCAGTCCGGCGTTTCCATGAGGAAGCTCAATTAAGAGTAAACCAGTACCAGGATCCACCTACCACCACCCTGGTATGAAACTAGTCCCATAGTAGCAAATCTCCCTCTGATCCACAAAGGCCGGTGAGTGGCTGTGGTGGTGAAGACCTGGGAAAGACTTCAGCCAGGTCGACCTCGAAACTCCAGGGAACCGCCATGGCTAAACCAGCAAAACTCCGAAAAAGCGGAAATTATGCTGTGGCCTGCACAACCAGTGCAGATGGTCCATCCAAGTATTCAAGTAAGTGAAAAAGCGCAATACTCCTATCCTATTTCATACAAGAAAATTTCATTAGAAAAATGAATTAGGAACTATGGTATACTGAAATATTTCCATCATAAGCCGTAAATACCATAAACGGGAGAACCTTCGATGACATGGTTTGTACAAGCGCTGCACAATGGATGAAAGAGAGTGTGGGCCACTGGAAACATTGGACCATTAGCTTTATGTCGCTGCAAAACATGGGCTTCTATTCCTACATATTTGTAAACTCAAGAAAACATCTTTTCGATGCGTTCTAGAATTATGTGTTTTTAGAAACAGCTTGATGTCAATCTGAGCGAAAATCTTGTCATAATTTTCATTCAAATCACCTCTCCACTGTTCTACCATCTCGTCGTTGGCGACCAAGTTAGCTTGGTTATATGCCCACTTTGCAAGTGGCAAACTCTACTATCAAAAACTTTGCTATTACTTTAGATAACCGAAGTTGATGGCATAGTTCCAAATGATCTCAGGGAATTCTTTAACATGGTGGAATCAGCGATAGGCGAGGTAAAGGAAATGTCTTTTCAGCATTTCCACACGATCTTCGACTGGATTGATTAGTGAAATTTCACTTTTTAGTGAGGCGGATAACGCCTTATTTGAATTTACGTGAAATTAGAGTCGAAAATATTAAAAGATAAAGAAAAAGTTGAAAGTAATGAGCAGTGGCAGGTAACTCTCGGTGTGGTCAGGCCGTGGAACGTGCGCCCTCCCACTCCAAAACGGATGGCTCCAGTATTTGCATTGAAAAAACACTGCTATTTAATAGTTGGTAGGTGATTTGTATTTTAGAAATTTGGAAATTGTACACCACTGCGTTGACCTACCGCATGTGTGTCTATTTTCTAAAAGAAAACGTACAAACAGGAAGGCAAGCATAAGAAATACTGGTTAAAAGATAGCTGAGAAAAAGGCGAAACGAAGTACCCGCATGATGTGGTAGTGAACACGTTAGCTCCCGAAAAGGGTAATAGCGAGCTTGACCCAAACCTCAGACACCCACAGCCTGGAATTTTGCAAATACTCAGCATCGTTGCGGTCATAACGAATACTGTTGAAAAATATAAGAAATGTTTTGTTTCGTAGTTAGAAAAAACTGACTAACGAAAAAATCAAGTTTGCAGAACTAACATAGGGCCTAATAGAACACTAACTAAGTGACATAACTATGAATTAATTTACATAATCCAAAAGCAGCGATACTGGTTGATCTGCCAAGAAATCTAAATCTATAAATTTCGAAGAGGCTCATGAAGAGCAATGGTTAGATGTGTCGTAGAATGCAAGCATAGCTGTTTGCTCCACCCAGCCCTGAACCAGGCAACTCACATCACCTTTGAGTTCGCCAGTTGGTACCATACCTTCTCAAAAAGGATTTTCCCAATCCATAAAGTCCAGTGACTGTTTGTGGTGAGAACCTAGAAACGCTCCAATAAAGACATACGAGAATTCTGGAAAAAATCTACTCCAGCAGCAGTCTTCGGCATTCACGATGAAAACAAAATTTCGGAGTAACAACCGAACGCTTGCGCAGAATCCTAAAGCCTTTGTGGATAAAAGGTGCAAAACCGCGAATCAGATGAAAGAATTCGAATTTGATAGTAAGAACTGAATCCGACCAAACATGACCAGATCGCAACGTAATTGGATAAACAAGCATAGCCATGACTTTCTGAAATAAACCATTTCAATAAAAATTTCTTCAAATAACTCTCGCAAGAAGTCTGCAGTGAATAAAATTCAGAGTTGCCACTGATAAAGAAAATGCGAGCGGGCTACGAATTTCAGAGTAGTCGCGGCCGACTTCATTTCACTAAGGTATGAATTCTACGATTCGAATAACTTTACTTCTGGTTGAATAAACCATAAAGTTAAAAAAGCTCCTGGCGTCAATCTACCCCTGAGGGATGTGCCATTCATCCGACTTCATTAATCATCGTTTGGAGGTGATTGAATGCATATCCGGCCTTTACAATAACTCGCGGTGGCCTTATCGAGCAAGTGCTGCTGCCCTCCCAGACAAGTCTGGTACCAATTTGCTGACCGCGGAGGGATGGAAGGTTTATTGGTGGGCCACGGGCGCGAGGACCGATTCAACATGTGTGTTGCAGGACGGCTCCAACCACTGCGCCAGACGCGAATAAACCATATTAGCACAGAAGCCATGTCGAAATTAAGGCCCAGTTACCCTTTCAGGTGGAACCACAAACAATGGGTGCATTTGCTTTTCTTGCCGTCGACCGCATCATTGACGTCGATTCCGATCTCGTTCGTGTTTCTTTTTTGTTCCACTGTGATCCCGATTTAACCGCAACTGTGCTCCCATTGCAGATCCCCAATCAAGTGAATATGGTGGCACTAAAGAATCGTATTCGTGCAGTACAAGAACGCGATGGCTGCTGTACTTTTCTTGTGGAGCGACCGTCTTCGCTCCACCACATCAGCAATCCCAGCTGCGTTGCCATGAAGGCGCCAGCAACGAGTAATGACGTCGAGATGGCTGATGATGCCATCGAAATCGGTGCTCGAGAAGCATTCAAGCATACTTTTGCCAAGGATAAGCATGTGGGTCGCATGGACTTCTTGAGAGAGAGGTGCAGAGACTAGCGCTGAAACTATAATCCTCAAACCAAGTAGCTTCATTCCCATGCGTAGTATCTACGCAGTTGTGATGTAGAAGATTTTACAACGTTTACACTTTACACAAGTTGACGATCGCCGTCAAAATGGCTGTTCATCATCGTTCACGTTCAGAGAAATACACCCGTTTATGGACCATCGCCTAAACATGATGCCACTACCGAGAACGAGCAACTTGTGACCGCAGTGGGAAGCGACACCAGTGGTGCTGAACTAGTTTTTTTTGTTCTACCATTCTCGTGACGTACTTAGATTTTCAGTGCTAAGACGATCACGTCGAAGAAAAAAGCGGACATTGAAAATCGGGGTCAGGGCAAACCACTTTGTCTGTTTTGATTCATTGGTAATGTTTTTTCAACCACAAAGTTTTCAGAAAAATCCCAAGGAGAAAGCTATACCGAGTGATGTAAAGCAGGGAACTTATTTGAGCAAGGTTGGTCTTGAGTCTGCCTTGCTCTTAACTCCTATTTTATTGATATGTTCAGGCAAGCGAAACGTCGCTGAGAAAACTGGTGACGAAATTCATCTCCAAAACATTTACACGCTGAAGTGATGGAGTCGTATTGTTGTCTAGAAGAACAGTAAACCATTTTAATTTTATTGAATAAACGCGTACCTTAACTGCTTTGGAACACATATCAACTGCCTTATCTTAAAAGTTGACAAGCAGATTGCCAATTTATAGCCAAAGACATTTCCAAAGACACGAACTTGGCCAAGATAATATCACAATGAATAAATTGGATTCTTGAGGATTTCATCTTCTTCATTAAAGTCGTAGAATGCTGATCGAGTCAATTCTCGTTGAAATCTTGGATATAGCCGGGAAAAAGTTCTCACGAGGATTAGTGGAGAGCGTTGGAGTGAGGACCGCACTAGCACTTTTGCTTCTGATCGATGGCTTCACTAACCACTGCGCTATCCCCGCCTGTAAAGATATAAAAAACTGGACTTTTCCTACTTTATGCGCTTATTTGTCTCATTCGCAGAGGAATTACCAGCTGGTTAGTCGGAAACCTACATGGCGCAGACAAAAGACGCCTACTTTAATATGTAGCTGAATTCAGCGAATGGACTCAATTTAACGCGAACATATGTGAAAAACAGAGGCACGTGTAGCGCAGTGGTCAGAGGCGCCGTGAAATATACATTGGATCGATCCCCACTCCCTCCTCACCCCCGCATCCACCAAGCCCTCCACCCCTCCGGGTCGGCAAATTGCTACCAGACTTGTCTGAGAGGATAACAGCACTATCTCGATACATCGGCACGCCACCGCGAGTCATTTCAAAAGGCAGATTTGCATTCAATCACCTCCATCGATGCTTAATGAAGTCGAATGCATGGCGCATCCTTGAGGGATTGAACAACGTCAAGAGCTTCATTTATTTAGTGTGAACTACAAAAATAGAGATTTCCAACAACGCCTCTCCATTTCCACATGGAAATGAATTCGACAACGGCATTATCTCGTCAAAGGTGCTTACTGTTTCTATGGGCCGAACCCAGCCCTCTCAAAGAGGTCACCGACCAACAAACGAACATAGAACTCCGCATTCACCTTTACGACCTAACGCTTCGGTCGGTGCTTTGTCATGAAACAGAGACCGTTGGCTGGTACTGCTACCACGTCAGAAATTTCGAGCACAGCGGCAGAGCACTTAAACGATGTCTTCTGAAATTTGATTTGCACTAGTCGGAATGCGCAGCTATGATCATCGAAATCTATGTCACCGTTGAGATTCACAAGAAAGTGTAGATGGCGGATTATGTGAGACGAAGACGAGAAGAGCAGATGACAGATGGATGAAAAGATCTGGAAAGTGGACTATGAGAGGAGCGTACGTTTGGACGACCACCGAAACGATAGGTGGACTTGTTCGTGGCTTACATCAAGCATCTGCACTCGCACAAGGAAACGATTTCTGTGTGATGAAATCCGCTTCGCTGACGTGACCACGTGCAAATAATCATCATGGACAGCGAGAGCTCAATGAAGAAGGGAACAGAAGATGTTAAGTTGCCGTTAGTTACCGTTGCGTTTCAGTGGCTCTCTGAACGGAATACGAGTAATTCATTGTCGGCTGTGGACACTCCGGTTTGACAATAAAAGAATATTCTTCGACAGCTAGAAGGCTTCAGGAGTTGTAAATATGACATAAGAGACTCGTTCTATAGGTAAGGATAATATGCATATGCTACTATTTACTTCTTACTTATTACTAAGTGTTAAAGAATGAAGGATGAAGCTCTACTCGTTGATCAGTCCTTGAGGAATGTATCATGCATTCGACATCAGCTAAGCATCGTTAGAGTTGATTGTATGCACATCTGGTCTTTACAATAGCTCGCAGTGGCCTACCGATCTATCGAACCAGTGCTGCTCTTCTCCCAGACAAACCTGGTACCAATTTCCCAACCTCAGAAGGATGGAGGGCTTGGTGGGTCTGGTGTGCGGCGATCAATACAGTGTGTATACTGCAGAGCGCCTCCGACCACCGCGTTACCCGCGCCCACTTAGTGTTACTATGGCCCATTGTGCAATGACACACTGGAACTGGTAACTGACACACTGGTATTGGGAACTTTTTTGCACCTTAAGATGTCTATTTCAGCATTACTTGTACCTGCACATTGCACAGCGAACATGATCTAACATTACGATTAAAATGGAGTAACAGCCAATTGCTAGTCAAGTTACCGGTCAATGAACGTTGTCGAAAAACGATTCTTTGCATATCATTAAGTGTAGAGAATAGTTCTTCTGGTCACTTCCATTGGCTATCGTGTATATATTTATATGTCCACGGATCTCCCTCACATGAGGGATCTCGAGCCGGTTAGTCGCGAGGCTACGCGGCGCGTCCCCAGGTGGCGGATAGGGCGTTAATCGCGGACCAAAAGCGACCTTTGCTTCCCTGAGACGAAGGTGGATCCAGGGGATAGGATCTCTGTTTCTTCTGCGCTGATTTGGCACATACTTTTTGTATTTGCCAGGCGTATTCATGCATGCGTGTGTGGGCGCGTTCTTGCTTATGCGGATTGTATTCTACGAGTTAATTCGGCCAAAAACCTGCAATCAAGTGACTGGGAAGTATATGAGAGGCGGTTAGGAGTAGCCTCCAACAAATAAGCTCCATGTCCACTCTGGGAGAGCCTGGCAAGCTACCCGTGAGTATACCCAGACCCCACGTTCAGAGCCGAGCAATCTAAACGTGGTTATCAAAAGTGCTGAACACAGTTAAAAAAAAACGGGCCTTACTCCCCTGACCCCGAAGGAGTCCCCAATTTCGCAGCGTTGGGTAGGACGAGTACGGAGAGGCTGCTAAAATCTCAGGGCCTATGGAAGCTGCTTGGATTTCAAAGAACTATGGTCACGATCTGTACCTACAATGCACGTACACTTGCATCAGAGTCCTTGATAGAAGACTTGCTCATGCTAGCAGGAAGGATAAAGTACGACATCATCGGCCTGGCCGAGACGAGAAGACGCCAGGCTTTCAACACCCTCTATGACACCGGAGAAGAACTGTTCTTCGGAACATGCTACAGTAGAGGAGTCGGCGGTGTCGCGTTCTCGGAGTTTATCCATGAACATCGCTTCATTTGAACAATTTACAACCCAAATCGGACATTTACGATTAAAAAGATGTGGATCAATACCGGCTTTGACAATCTTCATCGTTTAGAGCCGACATCAAACTATGACGAGGAAGAAGTCGAAGCGTTCTACATGGACTTGGAGAAGTTCTGCAGAGAAGACCATACATTCTTCAAGGTCATCATTGGAGATTTCAACGCCAAGATTGGACCGAGAAGAAGTTTGAAGAACGTCACATTGGGACCCACGGATTAGAATGGAACGAACAGGGTGAGCAGCAGTCTGAGTTTATCATGGCGGCCAAGATAATCCGTGGTAACTAGCAATTCCAAAAGTCCCGCCCTCAACGCTGGACGTGGGAGTATCCCAATGCAGAGTACCGTAACGAAATAGACCACATCATAGTAATTAGAAGGTTTTGCCCAACCAATGTCGCTGTTGTCCCAAAATTTTACACGGGATCAGACCACCGTCTCCTTCGTGCAAGATTCTATTTCTCGGGCTCGCGGAAAGGAGAAAAAGCCGCTAAATTCCAAAACCGAAGTTCCAGAACCACCGCAAACTGGGACTTATTCAATTCATTAGTCGGCTGTTGGGTTGATGCCGTTGTCGATAACATCGATGAAGAATGCAATCGACTCATTCAACATTTTCACGCTACCGCTATGAAAGCTCAGAGTTCGAAAGTCACCAAGAGACGTCTGTCTCCAGAAACAATCGAGCTGATACGCCAGCGTGGAATCGAAGGAGCTGCTGGCAACCGCGAACTAACGTCCGAACTTGCAAAACAATGCAGACAGGCGATAAAAGAAGATCTTAGAGAGAGAAGAGCAGCAGTAATGGCCAAATCTGCAGAGGATGGGAAAAGCATTCGCAAAGGCCACCGAAGCTTCGTCAATTACAAGACCAAAATGATTGCACTCTGGCGCACAGACGGAACAGTTACAGCGTCCAGAAAGGCAATGGAGAAAAATCATTCACGAAGGCTACTCAGATCTCTTCGAATGTCGCCTCCACTCTTCGTCATATGAAATAAGAAGGATGGATATGTGTTGTACCACCGGTTCTCCCTTCCGAAAACCAACATGCCATTTCGTTGGTGAAAAGTCGAACAACACCAGATCCGGAGAGGATAAGACCACAACAGCTGAAGAACCTTCCGCCAGTCCTCCTAAACACACTGGCTCGGCTCTTCACACGTTACCTGTCTGAATGCAAGGTCTCTACTCAGTGAAAGACCAGCAAGACCGCGAGAAGCAGCCTTGGAAACCCTTGATAGTCAAGGAATCCCTACTCAATACATAAAGATCCTTCGTGAGCTGTACAAAAATTTCACAACCAAGGTACCATCGATGGTCGGCAGATACACTCTATTACAGTTACCTTATAACACAAAACATTAGCCAAGCGGAACGTATGCTTGATGACTTTGACAAAGCTTGTGGAAAGATTGGTCTTCGACTAAATCTCACAAAAACGATGTTCATGGAGAACGAATTGGTCTCGCATGTCTTTCACGCTCAACGGAACGAGTATTTCCGAATGATACAGTTATGTCTAAGTCGGGAAATCAATACGGTGAGCGACTTACTTCTGGGGTTGAGCAGAAGGAAACGAGCGGCTTGGGGAGCTTTCAAGGGCATCGAGGATGTATTGAAGAGAACAAAGAACACCCGAATCTGTCCCCACCTTTTCGTCTCAACAGGACTTCCTGCCCTAACGTATGTTTCAGAGACTTGGTCGCTGCGTAAGCAGGATGAAGGATCAGTCAGCGTTATGGAACGCGCTGTCGAAAGGACGGTGCTAGGAGTATCCCGTTCCACACAAGGAAGGTATGGGATCCGAAGCCCCGATCTGCGTCAAAGACCAAAAATCAAAGATGCCGTTCTGTACGCCAGACAGTCGAAGATAATGTGGGCCGGACACGTAATGCGCATGAATGACAACCGATGGACAAGAGCCGTTAGTTGCTAGATTCCTCGAGATGTCAAACGTAGTGCAGGAAGACCACCGACCCGATGGACAGAGCTCTTCACAAAGAGCCTTGAAGAAAGATATGATGCTCGACGAGTCCCTAGAGCGAGCAGAACCCACTGGGCTGCTCTTGCACGCGACAAGGAAAAACGGAAGATTTACTGGCGCCCGCTCGAGTCGCTCGACTATCAACAGGACTACAGGTGATAGAGGTGATATATATATATATATATATATATATATATACATGGTAGGACAAACAAGTTCTGGAACCAAATGGACTGAGAATGAACTCGATAGATATATGGACCCTGCAGCATTCATTCCAGTAATTATGAGTGAGCAGTAAGGCAGTTTTGAAATTTGTTACTTTAATGTGTCAATGAGCTAGAGATAGATATAGAACCTTCATGTACACGGGAATACACAATACATTACGAAAAATATAAATGCGAAAATGCTCGTAAAATGGCCATTAAACAGAAAGACTGGAAAGTAACAAGGAAAGACAATATCGAAAATTTATGGAAAACCTAAGCTAAGATCTTTCTCTGTGAGGAATTTCTCAACAAGACTCTGCTCCAGCAAGCCTATAAGCCGTTCGTTTCCATCCTCGCCACGGATCCACCTGAATCAAAAAGGCCAAATTAATGTTAAATATTCTGTTCCAAAATATATGACTACCTAGTAATGGAAAAGAAATCACTCCCAGTGCTGACTTTGTTACTTCAAAGATATAAAAGATAGCACGACGATTTCTCGTCAAATCATTCAAGAAAGATAAAAATGAATATACAAGTCTCTTAGGCAGAAAAATTTCACACTCTACTGCACATCTGCAAACCTTATGGTGTTCAGTTCGACCATAAGTCGATCGATTCGTATGAGTATGACGTTACCTTAGAATCCGATGGTCACTGAACTCAACCAATTGCTGGCGAAGAGCCATGTCCGACGAAACGAGGAACTCGTCTCTAAAAATAGTGAACTGATTTTAGATTTCTCAACTATCAGTGCACTTTGTGAAATAGATTATAGTGGGTTCTAGTAAATTTAAAAAGAAAATTTGTGTTTTTGTAGGCTATTAAATGCAGAATACCTCAAACTTAAAGCGATAGAGTACAGTAAAGAATAGGACATCAACTCCACTGAACTGTACTTGAAGATACAAACTAGCATTTCAAAAGAAATGTACAGCATAAATTCTTAACAACTAACTAACTGCTCACTTGGCACTGTAGTCCTGACAGATACTACTGAAAGACGAAAATTAAAGCTAACAGTTATGTAAAATCCTCTTAGATAGCCTCACAGAGACTCATGCTAAACTTTTTGCACTCAATAAATTGCCTATTCCACAACGATTGTAGCAGATGTCGTCTAAAAAACCAACTTCCGCACTTTATAATTGGCAAAATGTTCCTCCTACGTATTTGTTCCCATAGCAACAGTGACTGTCACTGGTACGAACATAGTATGAGAGAGTATCACAGAACAAGAAAGCGTTAAGATGCCCCTGTATCTCACAGCTATTAATTATCCTATGTAATTAATTACTTTGTCGATGTCTGTTCAGTAGCAATGCGACAAGAATGAGTCAATATGAATCATCGCGGAGGTGTCCCGAAAATTAGGCATGGACCTACACGGCATTCACACGAAATATGGCGTCGAGTATCAAGTGTGAATAGAAAAGCCCCTGGAAAGTCTACCTCTGAAAGCACATTTGAATAGATCATTAATGTAGCGGTCTGTAGGACTGCCGAAAAGTGCCCTTCTTGTGGCTGACCATGAGAGTTGGCATACTAATCGTTCGTATTCATTCCATGTCTTCTTAAGTGGGCAAAATCACAAGCGAAATTGACTCTTTATATCAAACAATTGGAAGAAACACACAGATGTCTAATCAGTTTCGGTAGGTGGACGCAATTGTTGAATAAGCTTTTACTCAATTCTCAATACTGAAGAAATCAGGAAGCAATGGGTTCTTCATTATTGATGACGTGTTGCGTCAGAAAAGTATTTACTTACTTTGCAGCAGTAAAGAGATCCCAGAAAGCGACGGGTTCCTTATTACTGAAGAACAACGAGAAAAACAGACGAAAGATTGAACGAGAATTAGTAGCCAACGATTTCCAGAGTACATCGAGCGATGATAGTGAGTGCACCTATAAAATAAGAAGGCCTAGATTGAAGTAAACTAGCATAGGTACTAGACATTAACCAACCAAATTGTTACATCTGGGATTGAGCCCAAGTAAGGAAGAACGACCAGCGAATAATTCTTGTGAAGGAAATTCAAAAGTGTCTGCACGGTAGTACACCCACTTAAATGATTCAAGGTGACGCTAAAAATGATCTAGACTTGGGACGAAGCAAGTAGTAAACTGTTCTAAATGAATGAAGATGCAATGGAATCCATTAGAATAAACAAGTATATAGAAATCAACGGCTCACATTAGTATGTAAAAGAGTGGCATTAATGTGATCAACAGTAGCCAACATCAAGACAGCAGGATTTTCTGCAAGAGTGGCCAGCACGGATTGATCAAATGGATCTCTATAACGAAGTTTTTCAAGTAGGACCTTAAAACAACTAATATAACGATAAATCGCCGATTAATAAATCTCTACTTTAGCTGCAACCAATATTTCCCGGCATTTTAGCGATCCCTCCCAACGGTTTACCGCTTCATCGTGGCTGGGAGGTGTTCCTGGGTGTCGGACTGCGATGTAGAGCGGGGTGATTCGTCCCCTCGTCCCCCAAGCTGAGAAGGAGTCCAGCGTTTCCATCTGGAAACCTAGCTAAGAGTAAACCAATACCATGATCCACCACCGTCTTGGCATCAAAGTCGTATGGTTGTAAATCTCCCCTGATCCACAAGAGCTGCGACTGGCTGTCGTGGTGACGACCTGGGGCAGACTTTGGACAGACTGTTCTTGGGATTCCAGGGAACCACAATGGGTTAACTAGCAAATCTCCGAAAAATAGTGATTATTGCTGAGGCCCGCACAACTAGTGATGACGGGCCGTTCAAGTTTCAAGTATCAAGTTTAGCCATCAGTCTGCTCGATAAAGGCATCTTCTTGCTCAACACAAATGACACTTAACACAATGCACTGAACATTACTCCATTTCACACAATTAAAGGCTTGGTCAACGCCTATTGAACAAAATCCACCTTGGCTGGCCAACTGGTAGCTAATAAATCCTCCAAGTATTAAACATTATTCGAATTATTCGTATATCAACTGACCTCCAAAACCAATGTACAGACTAAACCAACACAAATGGCTACAACAAATTCATAGTTGAAGGCATATCTATATGGAGCTATGCAATGAGAGTTATTTTACGCCTTAAAAGTAAAGTAACAAACAAAATCTATTGCCAACCAAAATTTATTTATTACATTTTCTTATCTTGGAGGGAGCGTGTGGCGCAGTGGTCGGAGGGGTCCTTCAATACACACTTGGGATCGGTCTCCGCGCCTCAGGCCCACAGAGTCCTCCATCCCTGTGGGGTTGGCACATTGGTACGAGACTTATCTGGGAGGATAGCAGCACTGGCTCGATACATCGGTAGGCCACCACGAGCCACTATATAGACTAGACATGAATTCAATCACCTCCAGTGATGCTTAATAAAGTCGAATGCATGGCGCATCCCTCTGGGATTGACCAACACCGAGATCTTTATTTTTTTTATGCTTTTATATTATCTTAATCGATTGATCTTAGAAACAAGATCGTGTTTTCGTTTTCACAACAAATGTAATAAAAAAATTAGACCTTAAGTTGGGACCATCAATGTTGTGCAGTAGAATGATAAGTTGGTTCTGGTTCTGTTCGATAGTAGCAGCTATGCGTTTTCCCCACTCAACCAAAGAACTTCGCTTTTGCTAAAAGGTAAGTTTAACCAGGACCTTTCATTCTGGGTGCAGAAAATTCAAGACTAGCGATATTTCACTTCTAACGTATAGAATCCCAACTCACACGCTATCAACGCACTCGAAGAATAGCTACATATTGAGAGGACAGTTACCTCACAGTGTTTGAGTTTCAGAAACTCAACAATCCTTGCCAAAATAATTTTTGTAGTGACGTCCTCATTAAATCCATCGATGGTTAAGGTACAAAATCTGCTCAGCTGCTCCTTGCAGAAATCATTCACCAAAGCTCTTTTCGAGCCCACACCGTATAACTGAACTTAATGATAAGAAAGAGGGAAAGATTTGAAAGATTTTTTAAAGATTAGAAAAGATGATACAGGAAAGCGAAAATTTATGCTTTACGAAAGTGAGTTCATGTTCAGAACCCTAAAGGATAGAACACATTAAACATACCAGTATATTGAAACCTCCTGCCAAACAAAATGTCCACCATGGAAAATCCTGCTTGATTTTAGTAATGTAGTCTTTATTCTCTACAGAGAATTCGAGATTCTGAAAAAAGAAAACGAAAAAAAAGAATGAATTTTTAACACAAAGGCTTTCTACCCACGTTGATGTAGTCACGTAGTGCTCCTAAGTTACAAGAGTTGAAGTTTCTCGATGTTTCATCTTCTACCTCTTCCTCAACGTCTTCACATAAACTGGAAACAGAAGGAAACCGAAATTTAACAAATTAGTGTTTTCTTCGGCAGCACTCTTCTTTTCCTATTCGTGGTTGTTAATAAAAAACATTACTCGACGTTTGGCAAATGTCTCCACGATTTCGCCTTCTTCAGAATTTGGCAAAATCAATCCGATACGCAACATACTCAGTCAAACAATTTCATAAGCTTAGCAGAAAATACATGGAATATAATTCTCATGTACTATTTGTTAGCTGATGGGAAACCTAGGGGTGCGTGTAGCACAGTGGTCGGAGGCGCCCTGCATTACACATGGAATCGGTCCCCACGCCTCAGTCCCAGAGAGCCCCATAATCCCTGCGGCGTTGGAAAATTGGTGCCAGACTTGTCTGGGAAGATAGCAGCACTGGCTTGATATATCGGTAGGCCACCGCTAGTCACTGCATAGGCCAGATATGCATTCAGTCACCTCGAACAATGCTTAATGAAGTCGAATGCATGGCGCATACTTCACAGTAAGATCAACGCCAAGAGCTTTATGCATTTTTATATGCTAGATAACATAATACCGACTGCTGCAGGGTGGATGATCTGTTGAAAACAAATTATTATCAACGGATAGTCATATCAACAAGTACCGCGCCGTATAAAAGAGCAATGCCAAGGGAGCATGCCTCATACGTGCGCTGCACCACAGAAGAAGGTCCGTTTCAGTGCAACTAACCAAGGAGACGCCACCTCGAAAATACGAACAACTGTGGGCCACTGAATCGGATCATCGGCTCTGATGAAGACGAAGACAACGAAACGTTAGCTGAACAAAAATAATTTATCAATCTCGTGTAAGTTCAAAAATTTAAATGAACAAAATATAAATTCCAGTCGCATGAGAAACAACTGATTTTAAACACTTACTGTTGTGCTTTATAAGCTTTCCACTTATTCATTAAGACAAGCCACATTACACACATGGGTGAGGAATGTGCCTATCTCAAATGAAAAAATCGGTTTGAGTTAAGGTGCGAGGTCAGCATGATTACTAGGCACTCTCCCTGATGCTTTTGACCGGTTATAAAAAAAATAAAGGATAAAGCTTCTGGCGTTAACCAATCCATAGAGATTAGAATCCATAGACTTCAATAAGCATTGTTAGAGGTGATTAGATGCACAACTGGCCTTTACAATAACCCACGGCGGCCTATCGATGTATCGAGCCAGTGCTGCTATCCTGCCACACAAGTCTGGTACCAATTTGCCGATCCCGGAAGGATGGAGCACTTCGTGAACCTGGAGCGCATGGATGGATCCCATTTGTATTACAGGGTGCCCCTACCCACTGTGTTACAAGCGCCGTCAAGATACAGTGTAAAACTGCATTATTTTCCCTAACAGTAGACATTAAATGAGTTCTGGTACGTTGCAAATGATCTATGGTAGAACGCACGGGTACGAATACACTGGAAAACCGTTGTCTCCGTATGGAAACTAGAACGGAAATTTAAAGTGAAAAAGTAGCTTATAGCACGCATAGAAAACAGTAGATGACGGAAAAGCTTTTGAAACAAAGGTCACTATCCTCAATAAGGAATATAAGCATCGACGTAGAGAACTCTTAACGTGTACTGATAAATCCTAAGAATCCGAAAATGAATCCAATCAAAAAATGCCTTCTAATCACGCGTAACGTCGTTCCCTACTTCTAGTCCATATTTTTTTGACCCGGGGTAGGCATATCCTCAACCATAAAAACTCGGTGGGCTGGTTTCCTTTAATAAGTGGAAAACTTATAAAGAACCAAAGGTGAGTGTTTTGAAAAGAAGCTCTTCTCCATGCGACTGAAATATCGGTTTCGCATTCTCCATGCTGAGGCTTGAAAGCTGTTTGGCTAAGTAAAATGCGTATCAATTTGACCAGTCCTACCTATGGAAAACGAGAAATCGCCGAAATATTAGGTACTGCTGAACACAGCTTGTATTCACAAACTCTGGTCTGCTCAAAAAAAAGCTATAACTTATTGATAATACCAAAGTCAACAATAAGTCGGTCGTGCCAATCGAAATCTAGTTCAGTAGGGCTCAAAACTGACTTAGAGTCTCCCTGATGCGGAATCAACTTCGCTTTCGAGCGCTTACTTCTGGCAACATTGATTTGCGGAGTTCTGCCTTGCATAAAATAGTTCTCAATTTCTGATGCCACAACAGCTCCTTCGTCCCTGAGTTGCACCTAATTCAATACGGTAAATGTAAAAATTAAGACCATCAACAAGAGGCACTCTTATGAACGAAAAAACCAACGTACAAGAAACTAGATTCTGAAGGATCGAAACGACTCTCCAGAGACTCTTTTGTAACTGGTAGGACATTCCTAAATAGCTGATCTGGTTATACAAACCACATCCAAACTTTACTCCCAATAATGTTCCATGTTTCCTACTTGATCTCCTGTAATGTAAAGATCTTTTCCATGTTTGACGATATCTCCAAGTCACAATGCTTGATGGAATGCACAGCTGTTTCTTTCTGAAACAACACATGACTCAAAAATAAATCAACGGTGCACATAATCAGTTCAGACTAACAACCTTCTTTCTGCATTTCCGAGGTGAAAACTCAACAGAGGTAGATGTACTACGCCGCTTCGGAGGGGAGAGAGGCATTCTGTTAGAAAAGCGTCGCCAAGTTACAGTAGCTTAAGTACGAACCACGTAATATTTCAAAAACATTAAAAGCTGATAATATTTTTAGAATCATCGCCGTTCCAGAATTTGTATTCAAGACGTAAATGGTAGTAGCACATCAGAACCTCTTACGCTGAGGTTCCAATAGACAAAATTACAAAATTAAAGCACCGAAGAAACCCAATCGATCATGTGGTGCACAAACCACAGCTCTCTGTCAAGCCATTTCATCTACAGGAAGCTCTAAAGAAAGCGCTGCATCTCAGGTGGTTCATAGATAAAAAATACCATAAATAGGTAACACCCTATCCAAACACGTGGTTTCGGCCATTTCTACTGCAAGTTAGACAGACTCTATACAGAACATTCATTTCATTTGAAGTGCTCAGGTATCAGTGCCAGTAAGGTGAAACAGAACAGCAACAGGACAAGCAAGCGAATCAATAACCATTTACTCCAAGTCAATACAAATCAAATATATGAGCTATGAGAAAAACAGTGAAACATCACAATCAATAATAAATAGATTTAAAAAACAAACCGCATAAACCACACACCACAAATATAGAGAAGAAAAATGTCAATCTCTTAACGAAAAGATAACTAGTTGATAATCCGGCAATATTGTTCCCACACTTACTCAAAAGGTAAACGACCTATTGGTCTTCCCGTAATTAAGCATTCCGTGTGAAATCATTTTAAAAGAGACCATTTAAACTGTTCCTTAGCAGAGCTCATTAAAGACATTCCTACTTGAGAGAATGTTTGATCAGAGAACGAAATCTCGTCCGCTTTCAATGCGCAACGAGCCACCACGGATTGGGGATCGGTCTCCAGGATAATCCTATAATCGTAGGAAATATGGAAGATAAAAATATTATGGATAATTGGACTTACCCTTCGTCACAAATTTCGTCTATGATAAGGATGCATGTGTCCATTGCATCTATAAGGGCTTTCTTCTCGACATTCTTTCGTAGTACTGTGGAGATGGCATCGAAAAGGCAGTTCAGAAGGGATTCAAGCACAAGCTCGTTTTCACGACTACTTCCAAGCACATACATATACAGATCAACGTTAGATCGATAAATACAAGTAACGCCGTCCAGAAGAATTATTTCAGCTATAACATGAAGCATAAGAGAAAGGTCGCAAACAACTAAAAAAAAAAGAAGAAATTAAATTTGCTTTTAGTATTCCAAATCTAGGGTAGTTTGACTAATGAATTTCCATGATGAAAAAATCTCGCGTGGTGATAAATGGGGCATGATGGGGCCTATATAACCTGCAGTGACCTACAGATGTACAAAGTCAGTGGGCTTATCCTCCTAGAGAAGTCTAATGTGAATCTGATGACCTTAGAGGAATGGGAGACTTGATTACGCAACAACTTGGGATTGAACCAAACACAACGTGTTTATTGTAGGACACCCTTCACCACTGCGCTACAAACGCATTAAGGCAGATAAATAATCCAGAGTTGGACGGTTCTACTATATAGTTTTAAGCACACCGATCTTAGCTACTAGCCGGTAAAATTTCTGTACAAGCAAGCATTAGAACGGAAACAATAATAAAACTAAACCCGAAGAAAACGAATGTTAACAAACGAAAAAAATCTCACATGATGAGTTCCTGGAAGTCTTCTGGAAAAGACTTTTTTCGAAAGCCTTTTGCTCTTTTGTTGCTCCAAATGTAGACTTGTCAAAATACTTAAACAAATAATATGCAGTAGCTAAAAAGAATACCTACAAAAACTTAATCCATTTAATCTAGTTTGAGTACAATCACGACGATGCTCGATTCTCGGTAGCCGTCAAAAATACAACGTCTAATTTTTGATGACACACCTTTTTTTCATACCTCTTGAAAGACTTCCACATATTGTGTACTATGGAAAAAGACTTATACGCTCTTCAAACTTGGTGCGACAAGTTTCTTGTAGTTCGACATTTCCTACGCTCTTCCCTGATAATCATAACGACTGACGACGATTGGAAGGAAATAAACAATCGCTTATTGGACAGAACTGAACTTTACAGACTTCGACTGAAGAGAAACACGACTTCAGTTGCCTCCGACTGCTTACATATCCAGAAAAACAAATATGCAGATCAAACAACTGAGGATGGTAAGGAATCCGTTGTATACTGGTGAGTGTGAAGTGAATCGAGTGATGAACATGAATACAATAACGACGAAGTGAACAGTGTGTAGTGAAATAATGTGGCGCCTCATGGCCTACAAATCTTCTATGAATGTCATTTGGAAAAAAACAAATGCTTTTACATGGGTACAAAAATCAACCTATTTCCAGGAATTACTCATAGTTGACAATTGAAAGAATACTGTAAATAGGACTAAAAATAACAAATACGAGAAGCATCAGTCGTAGGAACAAGTACGTAGTTAGGAGATGAGAAGATTCGCGGGCCTCCTCGTTCAGGTGAACATTCTTAACTGCTACGGTTATAGGATTATTGGAATTCTAGCGTGACCTACGAAAAGCTTTTAATGAAAAACTGGGACCAACACGACTAATCAGATTTTGAAAGCCATTATACAGCTCCTTCAAAGCTGGAGACAGGTTGTACAAATCCAATCTGTTTCGTAAATTTGTCAATGAGAAAGGTAATATAAAATGCAGCCCCAGAAAAAAGTGTGCACTAACATCGCTCATGAATTCTAGGCGAAGACGCGAAGGTTGGTCAAACATAATACCAAAATGCTGACACCGGACAGATTATGAAGTGTGGGGTTTGTTTAACCCATGGCGAGGCATCGAATAACCGAATGATCTGAATCTCCAACTTCTCCGTTACATATGGAAAAATAAGTAAACACTTTCCAAACAGGCATTCGACAGACAGTGAAGAAAGCACAATGTCGCCATAACATTTTTATACTGTCGGTTTTCCACATTCTCGATATTCGAAGGTACGCAAAAAACGATACGTTTTGTAGGTTATTCGAAGGGATTATTATCAAACTATCAAAACCGAGTATACGTAAAATGATATACTAAAACAAAGTTTGATTCCCACGACCGACTTTCTATTAACCTCGGCACTAATCCAATAATTCTTTATACTCTTATAGAACAAACATGAGGTGTTACAACCACAACGTTGCTGAGATATTTGCAAAACTCTGGACCGCAGGTGTCTATGGTGGGGAACGAACGCGCTATTATCCTTTCCGGGGAGTAACGCGTTCACCACCACACCATGCGGGTCCTTTGTTTCGCACGTTTCTCAGCTATTTCTATCGATCTTTTTGCCACAGCAATCACCCGTCAGCGGGGTTGATCTGGGGAGCGCAAATCGGCATAGAACCCAGTTAAGCTATGGCTGTAGTTGAAATCACAATGTTTAACGTTTTGTTTTCTGCCTTCTATAATTTTCATGGCAGGTTACTAAGCGAAATACAACCACAACGTTGCTGAGATATTTGCAAAACTCTGGACCGCAGGTGTCTATGGTGGGGAACGAACGCGCTATTATCCTTTCCGGGGAGTAACGCGTTCACCACCACACCATGCGGGTCCTTTGTTTCGCACGTTTCTCAGCTATTTCTATCGATCTTTTTGCCACAGCAATCACCC